GAGAGAGAGAGAGNGNGNGNGNGNGGGGGGGGGAGAGGAAGAGGGAGACGGAAACGGGTTTCTGCAAAGGGCGTCGGAATGTGGACTGGGGCGGCTTTTTGGTCTCATTTTTGCATGGCGTTTTCCATACTTGGATGTGGCAACACTTTATCTAAAAGGGTGACATATTATCGATATATTATATTTAACACGTTATTTCTATACAAGGGTCCTGCCTCGTTTCAATCAATTGGCACTTTTAATCGTTGATATCATCCTCCGCCGGAGGTGCCGTCAAAATCTCCATATTCGCATCTAGCAGCAGCGCCGGCAGCTCTCCCCGCAGCAAATCAACGTCAATCTCCATTTCCTCCTCCTCTTCGTCCTCCTCGTCGGCCGTGTAGTCCATCTCGCCCTCGGGGTCCGAATCCTCCACCGACACCAGTGCGCTGTACGCCAGGAACCCCGTCGGCAGAATGTCCGCAATCTTGCCGTACGGCGCCTCCGAGTCGCTCGCCTTCCAGATGGCCGTGGGGCCCACGGGTCCATGCGCGTCGTACTCGCTGTCGAACCAAAAGCCCAGCACGCCGCGCGCCGACCGGACACCGCCGACCTGAATCCCTTCGCTCTTCCACCGCTCTTCGCCGTTGTAGATGGACGTTGATGTCCAGCGCACCTCGCCTTCTTTTGTCAAGCGGACAGTGCCTGCCGCTAATTGTCAGTCACTAACGTGTTTCTCGATCGTAGGCGAATCGGTGGTTGAGCAGCAAGACTCACCCTTGAGTTCGGACGCCCCGTTGGCATCCCAGCCGTCGTCCAAGAGCCGCGAATCGCCGGCAAAATGCACGACGGGAAGGGCCTGTCCGTCTTCGGGACCCGGGGGTTCTATGCGTGTAATGTGCAGTTTCAAAATGATGAGTCGCGTGGCCTCGCCTACGCTGATACCCGGTCGCGGCAGATTCTCAGGAAACGGGTCCCCCATGGGAAAGTTGTAATTAAAGAAATCATTGTAGTCGAGAAAACATACCACCTGAAAACGTTAGCAAAACACGCGAAATCGAGTCAAAACAGGTACCAATCAACGCATACCCGATACCATGTGCCCGTGACGCCATATGGATCGCTCAGCTCCAGCGACGATGGCTCATGCGCCGGGGACAGGGCCGGCGTCTGCATAAAACTCTGCGACCACGACCCCGAAAACGGCGTGTTCCACACGTCACTAAACAGCTTGGACACGAAGCGCTTCGACTGGATGTTGTACCCCAGCACCACCATGACGGCCTCGACCTTTTCCCAGTCTACCTTGCCAGAGCCGTCGTCGCGAAAGGGCCCCCAGCCGGTGCGCTCCGTGTGGCCGCGCATGTCGTACACGGTCGAGCAGGCAAACGGATACGTGCGCGTGGAGCGAAGACGGCCGACGTTGAGGATGGGCGCGCCATAGAGGCAGTGCAGCCGCGCGCTGCGCTGGTGCGTCTCGGCGGCGGCGGCGGCGGCGGCGGCGGCTCCGGCGTCGTTATTGCCGCTGCGCGGAAACGCGAGCGGCCGCTCGCAGCGCACGCGCTCAAACAAAAAAGAGCGCTCGAGAAAGGCGGCCCGCGTCGAGTCGCTGCTGCCAAAGAGCTGCCGCAAAAAGTCGGCGTTGCGCGAGGCGCTGTGCGTGTTGGAGTTGTCGTTGGTGTACCCGCGAGACGAGGCGCGGTCGAGGAGGTCCGTTACCGTCTTGTGCACAAATGGCAGCTCTGATTCCTGTCAAGGAGCAAAACGACACTCAATGTTAGCTAAACACACCCATGACCAATCTTTACATTTTTCCGGGAGATCGAGGCCTTTTGTACCTTGTCCGATGCTGCCGGACGATCACATATAAGCTTGAGCCGTACAAAGTCGTGCAAGGCTTGCTCCCAGTCTATATTGTTATTATTCTGTGGTTTATCCTGAAAAAAAAAAAAAGACGTTAGAATCCTCTCCATGACCCCAAGCCCGCACCCGCATGGCACCAAACTCACCAAGTGGTTCAGGTATACATCCTGGCACAGCTTCCAGTTGCCCTTGACATGGTTGTTGAGCACCTGGCAGACGCGGGGTAGGGCTCCCAGGTCCCGCGGGTCCAGCCAGCTGAAGATTTGATGTAAAAGCTCGGCAGGCAGCCCCGTCAGCTGCGTCATGGTGGTAGTTGTCTCTAATTCGACTGTGATGGTCAAAGTCCGCCGTCGAGAGCAACGCGAGAAACGAGCGTCATCGCGGACGGATGCAGCACTGTTTGTTGGTGGGGCAGCTTCGTGACGAGTACCTAATAAGTAGTGAGTTAGTGAGTGCTACAGGGACCAGCTGATTTTACTAGGTAGGTAGGTATGTGGAGGACCATGGTACCTCTGATTCACAGTCTCTCATACTACAAAATAAGTACCTCTTTTAATATACTTGTTAATAATTTATACTAAAGGTTGAATATAAAGTCAAATTATTACTTGATAAAAAGCACTCTCAAAAGTGGTTTACTAGCAAATTAATTCTGATTTCTAAAGAATCAATCGAGTCATCTTTTTTTAGCCGGTTTTGTCGAAATCAGTGCGATAGCAGCTAATTCTATCCATTCTGTTCACACCATCAAGGCGAGTAGCCGGGTTAATAAGATAGCCATCAAGATACATCATTTGGTAGCGGCCATAATCGTCGTCCTTGAGGACAACAGGTTCAGGCTGATTGGCCAGCCGACTGGTGAAACCATGCGACAGCAAGACTCCCAGCACTCGCGCTCTCTTGATGTTGCGAATCGTTTGATCACCAAGACTACCAACTTGGCGCGTAAATGCTGCCCAAAAGGTCTCTTCAACGGCGTCGTAGTCGGGGTATCTTGACCAGCCGTTGCTCAGGTGCATTGCGCCAGCAAATCTCTGAAGGAAATGCAAGTCGAGGCCAAAGGGGCGTACCGTGGCTCCTGCCCAGTCAACAACTCCTTTCAGATGGCAAGAAGCTTCATCCACCAGCACATTGCTGACACACAAGTCCCCATGCGAAAGGACCATAGGGAGGGACATGATGTCGTCAAGAGAAGCCAGACAAGTCTCTACATGGGGCTTAAACTGATCTGGGAGATTGTTGAGGAGCCGGTTTAGATCTCGGCCGTACTCTGCTTTGAGATTTTCCCGGTATTCGGAGGAGACGGGCTGCGGTGCCAGCCAGGATCGAGCAAAGAAACTATGGGCTGTTAAAGACTGCCATGACTTGGTTATGGGTGGACTTACCTGGCAAGATCGGTGAATAGATTTTGACGGAACGGAAAGAACTCGGGGGAGTCTTGTGAAACATCGCGAGAGAGCGCAAAATCCAGCTGGGTGATGCCAGGCAGCCGTGTCATTAGATAAATCACAAGCGGCTCTCTACCGTCATTTTGAACCTCTTCGTTGGCGTCACTGCCACCAAGCTCGCCGTGGGACTGAGCAGCAGGGACCAACGGTCCATGAATGTTCCTCGCCAAATCATACATGTCCATCTTCAGAGCCAACGACCGGGGTCGACATTGGACGACATGTTCCAGACTAGCACCAGCATACATGGAGTAGCTGGATGAGCCCTGAATGGGAATCGCCAAACCCTGTCACTGCCTGTGAGGCTGCGAGCTTTCTCCTCACAGTTATCCCTGGAGGCTGTTGTCTTCTTGAAGAAGGCGGCGATTTCCTCCTCGACGTTGTAAGCTGCCATGATTGCCTGAATGCGAGGATAAAAGGTCCTGGGAAGTGTATACAGATATTTGCTAGTAATGATGTGATTGAGGAGGAGGAGGAGGAGGAGGAGGAGGAGGAGGAGGAAGAAGAAGAAGTCAATTGTATGCACAGGGACCACGGAGATGTTCTTATACTTATATATGTTGCGGGATGTTGTTCATATTGGCTAGGTCAACGGACACGGGATGCTCCGGCGCAGCCCACTTGAAGCAGATTAAAGGTAGGACAAAGAACAAAGAAAAAAGAACCTCCCCTGTTTCAAGAACGCTTCCCCTCTTCACTTTCCCTCTTCACTTTCCCTCTTTCACTTCCCCTCTTTCACTTCCCCTCTTTCAATAAGGCCTCGACTCTTCTTGTGGCTGTGAGACCGTCGCCTCTTTTCCATGTTCTGTCCGCAAAGACTAGTCGTAAAAGCATCTGCGTGATGCTGATACGCTTTCAGCGTCCTATCAGTACATCATTACATCATTAGGGGAGCTGAGCATGGTAATCACTTCAGTCGCCGTTGCTCTCGTCTCTCGCTGTTGGGCTGTACCACCCAACGTCTACAGGTCGCTAGTTTCATCGTAGTCGACCATTTTGCGCTCTGGGGAAAGCCAGCCGACGGTCTAATCGCGTACGCCGACTTGGTTAGACTTCAGGTCACCAAACATCCATCCATTGGGAAAGAAGCAAGTGCAGTGCCCCCGGCCGTGCCCCTGCCAGCTCAATCATGACCCCTTTGGCCATTTTTTCAGTGGACCCATGCCTGCATATGCTTTCTGGATACTATGGTTGGATTTTCTATATAGCGCCGCATAATGGGTACCACGAGCCGAGACCTGTGAGTTGTCGTGGGAAGATCTAGGCAGCAGAGTTCACGGTGGTGTCTGCCTAGTTTTTGTGCGACATAGGATTAAGGAGGCGTTAAGTAATATTTACAGAAACGATGACGACGACAGCAACAAAAACAAGAATGACAACAGCAATAATAATGTTAATATTGGTGCATCATCACCGAGGTGTCCTATGTGACACTCATCGCACGTGCCTTTGGCGTATACAACCGTCATTTATCCCATACTATAAGCTGTGGGAATTGGGAAGAAAGAAAAAGTCCTAAAACCTTACTGCAGCATAAAAGATTTATTTCTCGTACAAATGTTCTTGATTGAGAAACCACTGTATGTATTGTTCTCATTGCAGGTTCATTGGTCGTCTCAGCAGCCAAGCCGCATCATCTCGAACCAAGAAAACAGCACTGACAATACAACGAGTGACAGACATCAGAACCCACCATATCACCTTCCATCAAACACGCAATCAATATTTACACGCCGTCGCCCCGCGTCGGTCCTCGCCGCGCCTCGCCACAGAACGGCGCGACAAACTGCGCAACGTCTTCACCAACCGCCGCCGACACCACTACAGAACTTGGGTGCCGCCTCCTATCCAGCCAACACCGAAGACGAGGCAGAAACCAACACACGACCGACTCACAGTCGACGACGAGGATGACTACCGATATATCGCTTCTGAACGCGGGCCTGGGAAGGCTGAGCCGCGTTGTGGAAAGAAGCGCCGAATGGATGAATTGGAGAAGGCTTGTTGAATGAAATCATACGCTCTGCTTAGTGTACATTTTCAGTTCGAAAATACTGAACAATTTTTTCTTCTTTTATTGATTTGGGGCTTTATAAATATATATATATACATTGTTATAGGTTCATGGCGTAGTAAGGGTCCGCGCCGCCGATTCTACGCCGTCGACTTATATTGATGCCCTGGATTGGCGAAATGTATGTTGTATTTGCATATATATATGACATGTAGATTTGGGCATTTGTTTCCCTGGCATATCCAGCTTCGTTGCGCCTACAACGCTGTCCTATGCAATCACGCGGCCTTGGCTCAGCGCTATGCAATTCTGTAGCAGCTCCCCCGCCTCATGCAGCAGCTCCCACCGTGACTGTCGCAGCGAGTCACGCAGCACCATGAGCATCGAGATGTTGCCATTGAAGCCTCGTGCCTCCTGCAGCTCATTCGGATCGCTCAGTCTCACGTGCAAGGATAGGTAGCCGCGCATCTGCATCCACCGATCATGGTGCGTCGCCGGCTCCGCGTAGCGCAGGCTCGGCCCCTCGATGGCGTACCCGTAGCACCAGATTACGAGCGCCGCAAAGTAGAGCGCCCACGGCCGGTTGAGCAGGATATCGTGTCGAAACTCGTACGGCTGGCCCGACTGCGGACGCACCGGCACGTCCTCACTCTGCAAGATCTGGTCCGGCGCGAGCACGAAGCGGAGGAGCTTGAGCGCGTAGTAGGCAGCATCGCGGGCCTTTGCCGACGGTGCCCAGTCCTCCGTTATACGCCGCTGTGCGGCTGCGTATTCGTTTGCGCTGACGGGTCGACCCAGTAGTCTCTTGGCTCCAGCAAAGATTTGACAGTCGACTATATCAGCGTGCATGGCCATGTGGGCAAGATGATGCAGCACCGTGCGTGCCTCAAACATGGTATAGACCTCCGTGTCTATCTCATCATTGCCATACGGATCCCGTTGTGGTTGCTTTCCACTTAAAGAATCATCGAAATCCGACTTCCAAAAGTCATATGCTCGCGTCAACGCAATTCGCCACTTGTCTCGGCCACCGGCGGCGTGTCCCATACCGCCACCAAGTACATTGGCTTGCATATCCCGCTGGCTTAGATGATATGTGACATTTAAAAGCCCTGCCATGAGAACAGCCCTCACAAAGTATGTTGTGTGGACTTGCTGCTTGTTGAGTGTTCTTTTTAGCCCTTCCAAGAAAGACATGGGCGTCACGCCCTGCTCTAGGAGTTTGCTCTCGGTCCTACTGAATTCAGCACTGCTCGTAGCTTTCCACAATGAGTCGTCGCATGGCAGCGGCAAGCGCATCTCATGGGCAGCCATGACGGCTGAGTGGCCAAACATGGTAGCATGAAGGGAATCAACCATGAAAGCCGCACAGGCGGCTCTTTTCGTTGACTCGTTGACAATCCATTGATCCCATTGCTCGTCTGCAGTCTTGGGCGGTCTGGGGCCACCTGCGTGCGTGGGGGATTCGGAGGATGCTTTCCCTATCAAACTGCGGCCGCGCCGCATGAGTGTAATTGTTGTGGCGTGGTGAATGTGCGCTCTCTCGTGCAATTCTCTTGTCGAGCACATCTTCTCATACAGCTCCAGGAATATGAGCGTTTGAAATATCCATAGCTTCGCTGGGGGGCGAAAGCCTGCGTCCATGAATACTTCCCACCGCAGATGTGTAACAAGAAAGTTGGAAAGGCGCACTCCTGCCATGGTTACCTCGGTTCCGCGCTTCTTATCCAGAGACGCAGCTCCAGTGGCCATGATTGCCAAAAGTAGTATCATCGGCGTCTTGTCGGCGACAAAGGTCGGCTTGTGCAGAATTGGCATCTGAGCGTTGAAGTGCTTCCAGAAGGACCCGATATAGGCTTGCATCATTCGCTTGCTCAGTATGTGGTCACTTCTACTTCTGTCGCCGGAAAGAATATAATCTCTCGTATGACGTAAATCTTCGCTCTCGCCGCCGTGGAATCGATCCTTGATGTAGTCAAACACTTCTTGGCTCCTGGCATCAGACATGCTGGCTTCCGGCATATGTGGTTCGAGAAGATTGTATACCGACATGATCTGCTGTGGTCCTATTTGCTGGATTGGACCGGATCGATTTGCGAGATATGCATTGCTGTCCGGGTACTGAGCTTGGTTGAGTTCTCCATAGCTGCAAGGCTTATTAGTTCTAGTCATTACAGAGACGAATGTGATCAAGTCCTCACCGGGCAGCTGCTTGTGGCAGAACACTGTTGCCATTTCCGGTATTGCTTGGCGCCGAATCAAACAGATAGACCACAAAGTCTTCAGGCATCCCGCCAGTGGGAGATTTGCGAAGCCCAGTATCGGCACCAAATACCGGACCGGCATCACCCACGGGAAGATGATCATAAAAGAGCATCTGATCAGTGACTGGTGAAGTTTCGTGAGGCATATCTTGCATGCCTGGTGCTTGTGTGTAATTGGTTGATGGCAAGTTATAGTCCAGGCCAGCCTGGTGTGAGTTGAGATTGGGAAGACTTCGAAGCGGAACTTGTTGCGTGTCTACTCTGGCAATAGGACTAGCAGCAGCCATGTACGAGTCTGCGGCACTGCTGTCAAATTGTCTCGCGGTCCCAACGCTCACTCCGTACGCTCCGCCAGTCTGGCCATGGTGGCTGTACTCGTGCGGGTGCACGGCTGCCACGGGTGTCAATGGTGAGAGCGAGCAAGGTGCGGCTGTGTTTGTCTCAGCCATCTGAGTCTCTTTTGCGACATGTCTGTCTAGATGGCGCTTCAGCAAGTCGGGACGGACAAAAGTGCGGCTGCAGTTAGGATACTCGCAGCAGAATGTCTGGGGTGAGTTGTGGTTGAGCTGATGGCGCTGACTGCGAAGCAAGGTTAGTCAGAGACAAATAATTGAAAATGGGACACAAGCTCACAGATGCTCTGCGCGTGAATACACTTTGCCGCATGCATCAATTTCGCATATAAATCTCTTTTCGAGGCCTTTGCGGCTCTTTCTCTTGCGCTTTTTCGCAGGAGCAGAGCTGGCCAAGCCATTATGGGGGCTCACCGAGCCAGCGGAGTCAGACATTTTCAGCAAAAATAATGCTGAAATTGCGTCTTGTCATCTGAAGTGCCTCGTCGCGCATCATTTGATGGCGACGAGTATCTGACTGCCGCGACTGAATTGGCGGTAGGCTAGGTGAGCGGCGGCTGACGTAGTCACGCCAAAAGGCAGGCCACGCAGTGGGTGCGGAATCAACGAATTGGAAAGACGCCAAACTTTGGCTTAGAACAAAATCTATGCTGGAAAACTTTACTGCAAGCTTTGGAACAGCTGGTTGAAGTGAGCAGCTTTGACGATGACGGTTGGCGGATGACGATGGCGAGATTGGCGCGAGGAGAAGCAGGTAAAGCTTCGATTGCGGTCGTGGCGGTGCGGATTGAGGTAATTGAGTGAATGTGTTTACAAGATCTGGCGCAAAGCTGGTTTCTTTTATGCATTCAAGTCGATGCCAGGTCAAGAGCAATGTCGCGAGTGAAGGCAGGCGGAGGTGCATCTGGTCTGAAAAGCCCTTGAGGCGAAGCCCACAAGGTAGTGTGGAGACAGCGGATAGCCACTGCCAGAGTGGTTGAGGGTTGAGGGTGCAGATCAAGTGGTGTGGTAGCCTGAGGATGCGGGCAAAGCTCGTAGGCACGTGTCGCTGCAGCGGATGAATAATGCTGCCAATGACTCGATTTTCGTCATTGTACGAATGTTAAAGAGCAGCGTCTGTCTGGCGTCTATGATGGTGACTGAACAATTAATTGGCCGGCACAGCTGATCATATTACAGAGTCTGGGAACCAGTGCCACAGAATCTGGAAGCCCCACCAAGGATGCAATGGTATTGATCATTGGTGATAATATTTAAGGCAAGGCGAAGGGATACATAGGTACCTAGGTACTCATTAGCGGCCTGCGGTTGGGGAATCAATTGGAGATGACAGATGCGGGGTATAAATTTACCAGGCACGCACCATACCCAGGCAGCTAACTAGTGGTGGGTAGGTAAATAGAGGTTTACATTATTTTAGACATTGAACATCTCTTTACTGTTCCTCGATTGATATCGAATAAATACTTGCGTGCCCTTGTTAGGACCTCGTTTCCGTACAGCTGACTCGTTTACCTCGCAAGAATCTTCTGTTTATCAACTGGTGAGTTGACATGTGACCCAGACATTTCGTGCCCTACCTATCCTGCCTTTTTTTTCTCTTTGACCCTGTTCTAAGTCTCTTCCTTTTTCAGTTGTGTAGATCCCCCAAAACCGCCATTTATTTCCGAATGTGGGCAACTTGGGCTGTCTAGCTGAAGCTAGCTGCCTCGGGATATCACATATCTACACGCCCTACAGACCAGATTCGGGTCTCACTCAGCTCTTGAGAACTCTTGGCGACAGATCATTGCCTACCAACCGGCTACTCCGTACCATGCAAACACTCAATTATGTCCCCATAGCCCTTCCCTCATCTAAATGCCAAGGTACATCAGCCCACTGCTTGCGGGGCAACAGCCGATGCTCACTGCTCACCCAGGATGTTTGAACTTGTTCGACGCGATTTTGTACCAGGCGCGAATGGGCCGCCGAATCTTTGCGAGTAGGTGTCAAAAGTCAGCCGGGCCACCTACATCAATTCTCGTCTCGGACTCCCTTTTCCCCCCCTTCATTTGCCCCCGAGAACTCAACGGCGTGACTTGCCGTGGCCGTGGTGATGCCCCCCACCAGTCACGGCGCAAGTCGCAAGCCCGCACAAAGTACCTCTCCACCTGGTTACCGCGTCGCAGGTACCTCGCTAATTAATTTAGCGTGTCCGTGCTGCTTCTGCAAAGTTCGGAATTTACCTACCAGCCCATTATTACCAGCGCACAGTGTCATTCTGCCCGCCTACCGCCGCCCTCCTCTTCTTCCCTCTCTCCTCCTCAACACCACAGCTGCACTGAGCACCACCACCACAAATCATGGCTCCCAAAACTTCTGCCAGAGCGCAGGATGACAAACCAGAAGGCAATGCCACCAAAGAACGCCCTTCAGTCTCCTCAGCCAAGATGCGCCGCAACGCCAGCCAGACGAGCAACAACCAAGCACGCGAAGCGCCCACCAGCGCTCCTACTTCAGCTCCCGCACCGGGGCCCTATGAGCCCGCGCCCCCTACAGTAAGTTATTTCGACTTTTTGTCGAGCCTCGGTCCCTATGGATGCCCAGTCGCAACCGGCTGCTCTCCCTTACCGCTGCCTTGCCACCGACGCTGACACTGCCGCTCCCGGCGTCCGCCAGGTCCCCTGGGCTTCCTTTGAACGAGACGCACTGCACGCCTACCGACGCGAACACGCCCTCCCTTCCTCGACATCGTTCATGAGCACATATCACGAATACATTCTGACAGAAAAGGCCGGTATCGGCCTGTACTCGCCGACCATGGTGCGCAAGAGAAAGGCGCGTCGACAAAACAAGGAACAACTGGCCCTCGCCGTGCGCAAGCACTTCAATGGCGTCGGTATCCAAGAAAACGACGTCATTGTCGACTTTATATGCAAAATACGCCACAGCAAGTCTGTTAAATTAGTAGGGTTGAGCAAGAACGAAGCGATGCTCGCAGACTAGGCGCCTTGGGCCAACTTCGGCCACGATACGATTCATGACGACGGCGTTTACGGTGTTTTTTGATACCTGGCATTGGAATTTGGGACAGCTCTACAGCTCTACTCGAAGTATAGCAGCAATGGTATCCATTTTTTTTCTTTATTGTCTACCTGTGTGGCTAGAGGCGTCATCGCGTTTTCCGCAACACTGCTTTTTTTTTTGGCGGCAGGATAATTTATTCGATTAGTGTGGACGCGCCAACCTCTCTGCATGTCACTACTGCACATCTTACTACAGCATGCTAAATTGACCCAATGGTCCTTCTCTGTATTTTCAATGAACATTGACTGTTCTTTATTTTAATCAACCTATCTGCGCCCCTCATCTCGACCAATCGCACGCTTCGCAATTCAGGGCGGTATCGGTCGGCTTATGACGGCATTTACGCCTGAGGCAGCTTGACCCGGTTTAAGGCCGGCTAAAAAAGTTCGAGTCCCTCCAACCAGCGAGAACCTCCTAGAACCGTGCCCGAGACGTTATACTCAATCTCACTCTCTCATCCGTTCTTTCGGCCGGCTCATTGATGAAACAAATGAATCGCTTCTCTTCGTTATGAATTCGAGCATTCTGCTAAAATCTACGGCGCCTGCGCGCGCCATCGCGCACAACCACGCAGCGTCCGCCCGAAAGATTGCCGGCCCCTTGACGAAATGCGCCAGGCTTCACACTGCGCCTTTGCGCGCAACCTCGCCTTCAGCCAAGTCATCCAGGGTTAAGAGCACCAAAATACCTTCATTATCGCGCGTATGTGACTGCCAGAGAAGTGAATCAGTTGATCGAGATTGCGAGCTAACCTATGCTTTTAGAAATTTCACACGACGAACAAGCTTTCCTCCAAGGATCCTTACAAGGCCCTTGGTGTCGACAAAAATGCATCCGCTTCCGAGATCAAGAAAGCTTACTATGGACTCGCAAAGAAATTCCATCCCGACACAAATAAGGATCCTTCCGCCAAGGACCGATTCGCTGATATTCAATCCGCCTACGAAATTTTATCCGATCCCAAGAAAAAGGAGCAATTTGACCAATTCGGTGCTGCCGGCTTCGACCCCAATGGTAATCCCGCGGGTGGTGATCCTTTTGGTGGAGCAGGCAACCCCTTCCATGGCTTCGGCGGCGGCGGTCAGGGTGGCTTTGGCGGCGGCTTCAACTTTGACGATATATTTTCCGCCTTTACCGGCGGCCAAGGCGGTCCCTTTGGCGGCGGCGGACGACGCGGCGGTCGGGCGAACCCTTTTCAACAGGAGATTCTCGTCGGCGAAAACATTGAAGTACAGGCCAGCATCACATTCATGGAAGCCGCCAAGGGCACAAGTAAAACCATCTCAATCACACCAACCGTCGAATGCGGCACCTGCACAGGAAGCGGCCTCAAGACCGGGTCTCAGCGCGCGCCTTGTAAAGCCTGCAACGGTACAGGAACTCGGCTCCATTTTATGCAGGGCGGTTTCCAGATGGCTTCCACTTGCGGCACCTGCGAAGGCTCAGGCTCGACAATTCCCAAGGGCTCCGAATGCAAGACTTGTTCTGGCCATGGTGTAGTCCGCGAACGCAAGACGATCAATGTTGACATTCCCGCCGGTATCGAGGATGGCATGCGACTCCGAGTTGACGGTGCGGGTGATGCGCCCGCGACCGGCCGCTCCGCCGACCCCAACGCCCGCAGCCAGCGCGGCGACCTCTACGTTTTTGTTCGCGTTGCCAAGGACTCCAAATTTACACGAGAAGGCTCCAATATTCTACACACGGCCAGCATCCCTTTAACGACGGCGCTGTTGGGTGGTCAGGTTTCCATTCCCACGCTGGATGGCTCTGTCAACGTCAAGGTCGCCACGGGCACCAACACTGGGGACAAGATTACGCTCTCCGGCATGGGCATGAAGCGCCTCGGCTCTCGACGTGGCGGCTCCGGCGACCTGCGCGTCGAGTTTAGAGTCAACATGCCCAAGTACCTGAGTGCCAACCAGCGCACCATTGTCGAGATGCTTGCCGATGAGATGGGCGACAAGACGGCGCGACGAGTCATGAATGTTTCGCCCTCTCGGTGAGTTTAAAACCGCCTCGGTTGGCCTCGAATTTGGATTTTGTTTTGCTAACGTCGGATAGGAATGCTTCCACCAGCAACGACGCCGCTTCCCACGATAACGAAGGCTTCTTGAAGTCGGTATGGCATAAGATGACGAACCACCCAGCGCACCAGACGAAGCCGGACAGTGAATCGACTTCTTCAGCAGCTGACAAGTCCTCGACGAAGAAGAGCGATGAGAATGAGACGAAGAAAAAATCGGACTCAGTCTGATTGAGACGACGTCATTAAAACAACAATTGTAAAAACTATATTCAAGCGGCCCTCGTAACCGCGCAGGATCTACAACTCGAGCATTGGAACCTGCAAAACTTTTTCGCATTCACAAAGGTGTTTTTTTAAAAAACGGCATCATTCAATTCTATTACAAGTATGGGGAGGAAAAGAGTGACTAAGAGATGTATAAAAAGGCGTTTTTTGTTTCCACTGGTGGGCATACAACGTTGTTGGCCCTGTAACACCCGCTGTGCGTGCTGTGTATGCGAATAGAGCAGATTTCAATTGTATATGGAGAGATTATAGTATCTAGTCGGAGACAAATCCCCCCCTTTCTTTCGATATAGTCCTTTTGATAATTTTACATGCTTGCCTTGTTGCCATTCGTAGCAGCTCTTTCTTTGGGTATCTTGTGTGTGCCATAGCATAGCATTAACAATGCTGCTTCCTCAACCACTATGCCGGTGCAGATGATAATGTGCTCCCACTGCATCACATCATGCTCTCAGCCAATCGGCTTCATCTTTTTCTTCTTCTTCTTCTTGTCGGGCTCACCCACCCCGCCGCTCCCGCTCCCACTCCCCGCCGCCGCCGCCGTCGCCGCCGACGTCTTGCCCTTGTGAAACTGCCTCCAGCTGCTGATCCGCTCCTCGCGCGTCGCCTCCCAGTCCTGCTCGTGCTGCCTCTTCCGCTTCCTCTCGTCCATTTCCTCGTCCTGCCTGCGCTGCTCGCGGCCCTCCTCCTGCATCTGCGCCTTGGCCTGCCGCCGGCGGCGCTGCTCGCCGTCCACCAGCACCTCGCGCGCCTTGTCGCGCCACTGCCGGGCAAACGCGTCCGTCTTGAGCTCCTCCGAGTCGACCGTGAGCTTCTTTTCGCGAATCAGCAGCATGCGCGCGTCGGCAATGGCCTCGTCGAGCCGCTCCCGGTGCTTCTCGTCCATGAGCTCCGTCTGCGCCTTCTTGAGCCGGTCAAAGGCGTCGGGCGCCCGCGGGTTCTTGCACTTGTCCGGGTGGATGAGGAGCGACTTTTTGCGGTACGTCATCTTGATGTCGGACTCGGGCACGCCGGGCTGGAGATCGAGGACCGCGTACCTGCAAAAAAAGGAAAACATGGGGTTGGTGGTTAGGTGCTGCGCTTGTGGGGGGGAGAAAGACAGGAGGTGGGTGGTGGTGATGCTGGGGGGGATCTTACGCATCCAGCCGAAAGGCTCTCAAGATTCTGTCGATTTCCGCATCCTGAGAATTCGCTGGTTAGTGATGCTGGTGCTCGCGCGACACAGGCCAGACGATTTTTGGGCAGTTGGGCGACGAACCTTGTCCCATTCCTTGGCTTCCGACTCGAGCGCATCGAGCGCAGCCTTGTCCTCTTTGTCTTGATCGGTCGCCATGATCTGCTATTCTGCGACAGGGCGTTGGAAGGCTCGGGGGTCAAGGGTTTGGGCGTTTGTTGGTTTTGCCCAAACGACCATAAGGCGGGTCAGCCACGGCGGGCCACTTTCGCCAAAATCTGGTGGCGTTTTCTATATGGGCATTAGCGTCGTCGGTCTGGCAAGCTCTCTCAAGTCAATAGCATGAAGCTGGTGAGGATTTGTAATCATAAAATGTGTATTCAGTGTGATTTAATAGCTAAATGACATTGTGATATTTTTCTGAAAGAATTGAACTCTGCCGGCAAGTGCTCTGGCAAAATGAAGAGCACCTAGGTGGGACTTTGTATCTATTTTGTCATGTAAATCCAGAGAGATGCGTCTCGGCGACTTTTGCTCTCACACGGAGCACGGCGGGATACTCTGGTTGGTCGTCTAGCCAATATTAAGCAGGCCTTGACTAGTCCAGTGCAGAACCCTTAATTAGTTTCTGTTTCTCATGCAGTGTGCGAAAGTGGCGGCTTGTGCGGTGTGCGGCTAAGCTGCCCTACTATGCTGTCTCGGCCGTAGGCAGATCAGTAGTTATAAGTTAGTCAGTGGCTTCACAGCGGGCCATGACCACCTTTCTGAGAGTCTCACGAGGCGTCCAGTCACAATGATGAAGCATGCTGATCCCAAGCGGCATGATACATGTCCTAGAAGAGAGAGCACGTTGTTGCCGCGAAAATGGTGACATGGCTGTGGTCTCACAGCAAGTGCCGGCATGGGCGGCATTGCATTTCAGCTTGGGCGTGACGGCATCGCATAGTTTAGCTTCGCAGAAGCTCCTCTTTAGAGAGCCTGGTACCAATTGCAGCTGGTGTACCAATTGCAGCTGGTGTACCAATTGCAGCTGGTGTACCAATTGCAGCTGGTGAGGGCGAAACGGCCATGGCTCGTTGTGAGTGACATTGGGTAGGAAGCCGTCCGATCTTGCTCCGGGTTGTCCCAACTCAACAGCTGCGCCGAGTTTACCTGCCCTGCCAAAGCCTGCCCATCCTCTTGGCGCCATATTGTTCTGACACAGAATAATGTCCCTCACAAAGATGCAAGGACGACGAGCCGATCCCGTCATCCAATTCAGAATCGCATCATGGAGCATGGCTAGATGTCGCTCGTTACTGCAAACAGTGTAAACAGCATGACGATTCATGCACAGGCTGCGTCTTCCTCCACTATTACTGTCTATTGAGAATCCATGTTTGGACGGGACGGCGGTGGACGAGTAAGGAAAAACACTAGTAAGGATGACCGAGATGAAAGAAAAGCAAACACGCTATTAGCTGCAACTTTTGGAGCGGTGTCTATTTGTTCACCGACTCACCAGGTCTAAAAGTACGAAACCGCGTGTCCGCTGCGGTCCATGTTGTGCTCAGTCTGCAGCGACACCGCACACGTAATGCATGCTTGTACGGATACAGCATTGAGCTTGACCTTTCGATGCAGATATAGGCAAAGGACCTACCCCGCACCGAGCTGCCGTCAAAGTTTGTGGGACTTGGCATATATTGGGATCATGTTGTGACTGACGGTGGATCAGCGCGGGGTAGGCGGCAACGGCACGCTTTCTAAAGTCACCAATTGCCTGCGCGTGCTTCGATTCGGCTCGGGTGGCTGTGCGGGACGGGACCGTGGGGACTAATAAACATCGCAAAACGCCGTCCCTGTACGTCAGTGGACAGACGCGGATCATGATTGCCATACCGACTTGGGACGGAATACATGGCGTCGTAGGTGGTTGACCAAAGTCCAAAGGCCCCGTTTTATTGCTTTTTTTTTTGCGTAATACGAGAGTCGTGTTTGATTGCCTGCATCTCAGCCCAATGCAAAGGCCCGGTCTGCCTGATCCTGCAGCTTGGAGACGTCACTGACTTCAATATAGGAAGTTTTGCCCAAAATGTTTATAAGGCGGTATCGGCCGCATAGATGGCCAATTCTAATTAGACCGGACTTGTATACTTGTCTGAACCGAGTCGTCAAGCCTTGAAGATACAACCATACCAGCAGACCTGAATTAGAAACACGTACGCCTGAAACGAATCTCAAAATGCGTATCCTTGGAATCAATTCTGCCTACCATGAGTCGGCCGCGTCCTTGATCATTGATGGGCGAGTGGTTGCAGCTGTCGAGGAAGAGCGCTTCTCCAGAGTCAAGCATGCTAAGCCGGCAAGTGTTGACAATGCAGATGAGCTGCCCCTTGAAAGCATTCGATACTGCCTCGCATCTGCCAACATCAAGCCAGAGGATCTTGACGCGATTGCGTACTCGTTCGATCCGGAGCTGCGAGCGCAGACGTTTATACTGGATGACAAAACTGAAGCTGGTGACTGGGGAACGCAAGAAGGCGAGGATACCTTCCTTGCCCACCTTCGCTTGGTGCCCAAAGCCTTGGCTGCTCACGTTGGTTCGGCAGCCGAGCTGAAGTTCATGCCGCATCATGTTTCTCACGCTGCATCCACCTTCTATCCGTCGGGGTATGAAGACGCTGCTATCCTCGTTGCCGATGGCATTGGAGAGGCCGCAGCCACCTTGCTGGCGCGAGGCGATAAAAATGGCATCACCATCTTGCGGGAGATTCCATTCCCCCATTCTATTGGCTTCATCTGGGAGAAGCTCAGCAAGTATCTCGGATTCTCCGAGTACGACGCCTGCAAAACCATGGGCCTCGCGGCGTATGGTGACGCATCCAGGTTCAAAGACGCATTTCCACAGTTGATGCGTGTGGATGATGTGTCTGGGTACTCTGTCGACAAGCCAACGGCCAACTTTCGCTTGCCAGATTTTGATCGGCTGGAGGCTCTATTTGGGCCTGCTCGCAAGCCCGACACGCCGCTGGAGAAGCATCACTACGATGTGGCTGCTGCTCTGCAGGTCGCCACAGACGAGGCTCTTCTCGCGCTTGCGCGGGAACTTCATCGGACGGTTGGTTCAAAGAACCTGTGCCTTGCAGGAGGCGTTGCCTTGAACTGTGTCACCAACATGGTCCTCAAAGAAGCTGGACTCTTTGAAAATGTCTTCATTCCATCGGCTCCTCACGACGCAGGCACAGCAATGGGGGCTGCGCTCGAACTCAATCAGCGTATGGGCGGCCCAATGGGCGTGGCCTCGGACACGCCGTATCTCGGCCCGGAATTCGACGATGACGCAATTGTCTCGGCATACGAGGCCGCTGGATTGTCGCCGAAAGTGTCTGACGCGCCGGCCCGCGACGCTGCTCGCATGATTGCCGAAGGCAAGATTGTTGCTTGGTTTCAGGGCCGGATGGAATTTGGACCCCGAGCCCTGGGAAATCGATCGCTACTGGCCGATCCGCGAAGCGCGGCGACGCGTGAGATGCTTAATGTCAAGGTGAAGCATCGCGAGACATTCCGCCCCTTTGCGCCTAGTGTTTTGGCCGAGCCGGCAGGGCAGTGGTTCGAGCTTGGCGCGTCGTCCCCGAGCTATGATTTCATGCTCTATGCTTGCCAGGCGACGCCCACACACCGAGAGAAGATACCGGCCGTCCTGCACGAAGACGGAACGGCGCGCGTGCAGCTGGTCCGTCGCGAGCGGAACCCCCTGTATTACGAGATCATCTCTCACTTCGCAGAGCTGACTGGGGTTCCTATGTTGCTTAACACGTCCTTCAATGACAGTGAGCCAATCGTCTGCACCCCGGCTGATGCTATTGCAACATTCCGAAAGACGCGCATCGACGCGCTTTTCATAGGCAATAGATTTGTCACCCGGGACAACTAGTTGTCATCGGAAAGATAGAGCCCCGTTTATCACAGGCGCAAAGCACGACTTTCGTGAGCAGTAGCTATTCAATATCGATTGATTTTGTCCGAGATTAGATTCGCTGGTGATGACATGTTAAGTGACAAGTTCTGACGTAAATTTGCGGGTTGAGAAATAGCTCCTTGAGTCCTTGACTCGTCATAACTAGTGGATGCGAGTCGCTGGCGCGCAACCACCCCGCGGCGATAAGATAACTAAAGACAATACGTAGCCCCATTAAAAAAATTGGCTGCGGCCAGCGGACCGAAAAATGCCATCAGCGATCGACAGTCACCTCTTGATATATCAAGCTCATCCAGACTGTAGACCGACATGTCTAGACGCGCAGTGTCTCCGGCGGCCTCTGAGCCCGAGATGGACATCTTCGGGTCCATCTACCCAGGGGACGATACTAACGGCAAGCAGAATGGAGCTGCCACTGCCGACACTGATTTCGACTTTGACGGTCTCATGAATGGTCATGACCAAGGCAACGAGGATGACGACGAGGCTTTCATCGCGCTGAAGCAAGCTGCCTCGTTCAGAAAGACCTCGAATCTCAAGGGCCGCACTGTCAAAAAGGGTGGCGGTTTTCAAGCTATGGGTAAGACTTGCTGACGTACTTCTCGACCTCTTCTAGTACTGACTGCCTGGCCAGGAATAAACGCCACTCTTCTAAAAGCCATTGCCCGAAAAGGCTTCTCGGTCCCGACCCCCATTCAGCGAAAGACGATTCCCTTGGTTCTCGACAGAAAAGATGTTGTTGGCATGGCGAGAACCGGTTCCGGAAAGACGGCCGCCTTTGTCATTCCCATGATTGAGCGCCTGCGCGCGCACAGTGCAAAGTTCGGCTCGCGTGCCCTCATCATGTCACCCTCGCGTGAATTGGCTATTCAAACATTAAAAGTTGTCAAAGAGCTCTCGAAAGGAACGGACCTCAAGGCTGTTTTGCTCGTTGGTGGTGACAGCCTGGAGGAGCAGTTTGGCTTCATGGCAGCCAATCCGGACATTGTCATTGCCACGCCCGGTCGGTTCTTGCACTTGAAGGTCGAAATGAAGCTGGACATATCCTCCATCAAATACGTCGTCTTTGATGAAGCTGACCGCCTCTTCGAAATGGGCTTCGCTGCCCAGCTCACCGAGATTCTTCACGCTCTCCCACTCTCCAGACAAACACTACTCTTCTCCGCCACACTCCCCACGTCCCTCGTCGAGTTTGCCCGAGCTGGTCTTCAAGACCCGAGCCTTGTGCGTCTCGATGCCGACACCAAGGTTTCCCCAGATTTGCAAAGCGCATACTTTAGCATCAAAGGAGACGAAAAAGAGGGCTCACTACTGCATATTCTACACGATGTCATCAAGGTGCCTGTTGGCGAGCCGGAGAACAACGATGATACTGGAAAGGATTCAAAAAAACGCAAGAGAGGACCCGATGGTCCCGCGCGACCCACACAACACTCTACTATTGTCTTTACAGCAACAAAGCATCACGTCGAATATATCGCTAATTTACTACAATGGGCGGGCTTTGCCGTCTCTCATGTCTACGGTTCGCTTGATCAAACAGCACGTCGTATACAAGTTGAAGACTTTCGTCATGGCAAGACCAATATTCTGGTAGTCACCGACGTCGCCGCCAGAGGTATCGATATCCCCGTCCTTGCCAATGTCATCAACTACGACTTCCCCTCACAGCCCAAAATTTTTGTTCATCGTGTTGGTCGTACTGCACGTGCTGGCCAACGTGGCTGGAGTTACAGCTTAGTCCGCGATACAGACGCACCATACCTTCTCGATCTGCAGCTTTTCCTTGGAAAGCAGCTTGTCATTGGTCAAGAAAAAGAAAAGCCGTCATACGCTGACGACGTTGTCGTCGGCTCCTTGGAGAGAAACTCACTAGAGGAGCATGTCGAATGGTTCAACCGGGTAATACATGACAACGACGACATCAGTGCCCTTCAAAAGGTATCCATCAAGGCAGAGAGGCTGTACTTGAAGACAAGAAACTCTGCTTCTAGCCAAAGTGCCAAGAGAGCTCGCGAAGTTGTGGCATCTGGTGCTTGGGTTCAACTTCACCCTCTATTTGGCAATGACGTGGACCACGACGAGAAATCGCGAGCGGAGATGATGGCAAAGATCAGCGGCTTCAGGCCCAATGAAACCATCTTCGAGATTGGCCGCAGCGACAAGGCCTCCAACGAAGCCGCAGACGTGATGAAGCAACTACGCAAGAAGATTACTCCGCGAAGAAGACAGGAAGCCGAAGCCGAGGCTGAAGAAGAAATCGACGATGACGAAGTCGGCGCGCCAGCGATGAACGATTTTGACGATGCCACGGACGACGATACCGGTCTTGGTGCCGTGGACGAGGACTCTGACGAGGATCTCGAGGTTACCGTCTCCAACGCCGGCAAGTCTAAAAAAGACCGTGACGACTGGCGCGACTCTGAAATATTCATGTCCTACACGCCCCGCACGGTTAACGCCGCCGAGGAGCGCGGCTACGGTGTGCACTCGGGCGGCGCCGGGTCCAGCTTCGTCGAGGCCGCGCGCGACGTGACCATGGATCTCGGCAACGACGAGTCGGCCAAGTCGTTTGGCGAGGCCAACAAGCAGCGCCTGCGGTGGGACAAGAAATCCAAAAAGTACGTGTCGCGGCACAACGACGAGGACGGCTCCAAGGGCGCCAAGTTGGTGACGGGCGAGAGCGGCGTCAAGATTGCGGCGTCATTCCAGAGCGGCCGCTACGACAAGTGGCGCAAGGCACACCGCATCGGCCGCACGCAGCGCGTCGGCGAGGACGAAAAGGCGGGCGCCGCGGCGCTGCTGTCGCAGGGCGGCGTGCGGTACAAGCACAAGCAGGAAAAGGCGCCCAAGGCGGCGGACAAGTACCGCGACGACTACCAGGTGCGCAAGAAGCGCGTCGACGAGGCGCGCGAGAAGCGCGTGGGGCGCTTCCGCGACGGCGCCGGCAGCAAAAAGGAAATCAAGGGCGTGCACGACATTCGCAAGGCCAGAGAGGAGAAGCAGAAGCGCAAGGAGAAGAATGCTCGGCCGATGAGGAAGCGATCGTAAATGTTGACTATGCCATGTATTGGGTTACCGGCGTTAATAAAAGCATCATGTTGAAGCGAGTTCAAACAATACATTTTCATCAGTCACAATGGGGTAATACCAGTAGCTTTGACGGATGATACGTGTCTTTCCGTCTATTGATGATGTGCTATTGCCTCACTTCCATTACATGCAACTAATGCGCACACTCAGCGCCCACAGACACAAGACCAAAAAAATCGTGATGGCTGAATGCTCTAAAAAGTTTCTTGCCCGCTGAAAACGTATACGATGTGCAACGGAAACACAAAAAAGCAAAAACACAACGTAAAGTAAAATAGGTATGAAATCGAGCCCTATAAGAGGGGAGTAAATCTGTTGTCGATCAACGAGTTGGCCGTTAAAAAGAAAAAGAGTTCCTTGGTCAAAAGGTAGTTCCCAAGCAAACGCCAGGCACCGTTGAGGATGCACAAAAGATAATTGATCCGTCGAAACCAGGTTTCAAAAAGGAGAGAAAAAACGATGTCTTCTGCAAAATGCGATCCGTCCCAGTAAGACATCGCTATCCCAGCTTTGACGCCTAGACACAGCCCATTGAAGAAAGAGACGCGTTCGATCATGTGGGTATCAATAATATTATAGTAGTGTAAGGAAATATGCGCAGAGAATAAGGGTAAGTCGCAAGGAGGAATCGCTGCGTGGTGTAGGGAAGATTGGAGATGTAGCAATTGCTACTGTATATCGAGGTTCGACATCCACGCTCTGACTGCATCGCGTAAGAGATTAGGCCGATTTTTCGAGTTTGTGCCGATGGCATCTTCATCTCGCTGGTCGAGGACATCTCGAATTATGTCTTCCAGCGCGGAGAGCATCACGGTCTTGCATTGCACGCGAGGTACCTCGATAGAAGGATTCGCCATCTCTGTCGTCTCCGAGAGCGAGTCGGGAGTGATGTCAGCGCTGTTGCCAATATTACCCGTCACTCGCATAGGCATAGTCGAGCCTGAATCCATGGTGCTTTCAGAGTTGGCGCTGACGACCTTGTCAACTGCCTCAACCAGAGACTTGTCAGCATCCGCAATTACTTCTTCGACCCATTCCTCGTTGAGTTGGGTTTCGTAAGGCAGAACGGAAGGTGTATGAGCGCTGACTGGCTGCGAAGACAAATCGGAACCTGGCCGTGTCTTTACTAGCCTGCGATACACGATGCGAGAGACAGTGTCCGTAGTAGTGTCGGCAATGACGGTGGAGCTTATGTCCACCCAGCGTTCTCCCGTTCCATGCCTCTGAGACGGAAGTGGTGCTGGGGTCGGCTCGGCTCGCATCGCAGCCTTGACCTTCTCGAGGAGGTTGTCTTGTGGAGGGATGGCTTGCAGTGAGAAATCAGGATGAAAGCGACTGAGCCAACCCGCAGCATTCAAAGGCGTGTCACCATCGATAGTAATCCGTGCCGACTGCTCAAAGAAGTCCAAGTTGCTGGGTAGTCCCGGGGTAGATAAATACCCGCTGCTTGAGGGTGAGCTGATAGCAGACTCAAACGATGCAATATAATCGGGGAAGGGTACATCGACATCGATAATCCCATCTTCGGGGTTGATCGAGGTCTTCACTGGGGATTCAAACACACCAGTAGGGTCTGGAGTACGATCTGCCTGTGAAAAGGATGCCCGCTGTCTCATGTTGGCAGTACTTTGCCTTGTCATCGTTGGCGGCGCATCTACAGACGCACGCGGAGAGGGTGCTCTCGGCAGGTCGCTGGTCTCTTCAAGCACCACAGACTCTTGTACCATTTCGGCCAACCTATCAGTTTTTGAGAAGGAAGGTTTTATAGGCGACCGAACCTCGCTTGTTTGGCTTGCAGTATTACTGTCGAGGGAATCCCTTCGTCGTGCCGTCCAGAAGCCCCCTATGAGATTTCCCCACTTCAATCCAGAGCTAGGGGGGCGAGACGTCGTCGTGCATACACTTACGTTGCTCTCGCCTCGCTTGAGTGATCGCTTCAGGTCGTCAGCCGCAAAGCTGCTGCTGCTTCCTGGTCGATGGCGCAAGTGACTTTCGCCCCGCTGAAAACCCGTAAAGTGCGGCATAGTCGGCTCTTGTGTGATGGTTGCGGTCGTGGCAGCACTGCTTTTTCTAGTGCCTAAATCGCTACCGGCCATTGGCAGATTGGTGGTACGAATCGACGCAGCATCAGATGCGCGTCTCTGGTGATTCCTATCCATGCCAAACTGCGCAAACTGGGGAACGACGGCTGAGTTTCTTGCGCTTTGACTTCCCACGCGTGAATGCGATGCTCGTCTCAGCCCAGTTCGGCGGTTAATCTTACGTCGAAGAGACTCTTCTCGCAGTACAGGAACCACAAAGGTTGGGGGAGAATTTGAGAGCGGACCTAAAGAGGTGGATGTACTCGCGCGGTGCACCCGCGGTGCATTCATCTGCTGATTTGCGGGCAAAAAGCCAGCAAGAAGGAATATCAATCTTCGTGCCGCCATTTTGTCATCAGAAACGACAATTGTTCTTGCAGGTAGAGACATGTCCTCTTCATGTTTGTGGCGTGCTTGGAGGGCCGCCTTCCTTCGGTGAGAGGGGCTAGAGAGAGCGGAGAGCCAGTCGACATGAGTAGCAAGGAATCCAGTCAAAACATTGTAGAGAAACGGTCCCTTGTTGAGTGACGATGCCCACTTGACTGTCCAGATAGCCTCATCGCGCCAGATGCCCCATCGTCCTTGACCAGTAAAGACACGCGCAGCACCTAACCCCGTGACAATTCGGCTTCTCGCAAGTCCAACTTCCAAAGCAATGTCGATATCGCCTGCAAGGCAATTGGGCAAGAGAGACACCAATTTTGTGGTGCTCTTGATAGCTTTGACTCTCGGAGTCTCAACACTGCGTCTGTCATTTGTGGTTGTATTTTTAGAAGGATGACTTTGAAGTGCTATCTTGGGAGTTTGTTGCCCGGGAGATGCAGAATCAGCATGCTTGAGTAATTGATGTATCCTCGTGGCGGAAACAGATTGAAGGTGCGTCAGTGTTCTCATGATTATGTCCCAGTGTTGAGTCAATGAGTCGATCCTGTCTTCGACATCGAGCGCAAAGGGTGATTCATTTGGGTCCGTAGGCATACCAGAGCCGAACATGTTCCAGCCACTACCCCCAGCGCGCACAGAATTGTACGAAGATGAATAAACCTCTTGTTCATTGTACGAACCAGACTCGCGGAAAATTGACTTTGGAGGTACGGCTGAAGAAAGTCGCGACGTGGAAGACGGGAGCTGGATAACGAGAACAACGGCATACATGGGAGTGCGCCGTTGCTTAGGTTGCTTCTTCTTCTTGCGTGTAGCGGCTTCGTCGATTGTAGATGGAAAAGGAAAACCCACATTCTCATCTGCAAATCGAGTTTGCGTCGTAACAGTGGGCTCGACTTCTTCACTTGCCAAGTTAACAGGAAAAAGACGAGTGATCAGGACCTTTTTACGATCACTTTGGCGAGGTGTGGCGCTCGCTGTGGGAGGCATTGAGCTAAAAGTAGGGGAAATGGCCTGAGAAGAGAATGACTGCGAGAGCTTGCTTGAGCGCATGCTCGAGCGACCGATAGAGCTGCGACCATCTCCAATCACGGAGGCGGTGTCGTTCGTGCGGACATCACTGGGAACGACATGTACTTTCGTGGATGTGCCCTTGTAGGCCATGAGTTCAGAGTTGCCGAAGATGCAGCTTGAGAAAGTGGCCAGTTCTTCGCGATATTCACGATAGGCTCTTTGGGCGTCCGTCTCAGCCTGGCTCTGATTGCGCCCGTGTATGGAGCCCCGTCGATCAAAAGCGCCCTGGCGAAACTGTGTTTGAGTGCTCTCGGTGTGAGTCGAGACTGGTCGCGACTGGCTAAAACTACCCTTGCGAGGAGACAGGGGATTTCTTCGACTCTCGTTGGTGGCGGCCGTGCGGTCGACCTCGGCAACAGGATGGCTGTCAAATAAAAGGGATGCAGAGGTTGCTCCGAGATTATCTTGCATTATCAGGACGCGAACGTCGCGAACGTCGAGGTCAATTTCGTCATTGAAGTCAAAGGCACTCGCAGAGGCAGCAGTTGGTGTAGGAGGCGCCGTAGAAAACGGAAAGACTTGGTCATTGCGATGTTGGTAAAGAGCTTGTGCGTCGGGAAAGAGAAGATTGCGTGTGTGAATGTCTTCTTGTACAGAGTCAAGAGAAAGCAGAGGACGCGGGCTACCATTTGGCGCTTGGTCATGTGTATTGGCCGCGCCACTGCCGCCGGTGCCGAGATTTAGCAGCCGACCGATCATGTTGTTTGATTGCGACGACAAGACACAAGTCGCGTTGGGAAGTCTCTCCTTTTAGTGTAGGTTAATGAACTGCCGTCCATTATCGGAAAACGTATTGATGTGTTGCTGAAGTGGACGCATAGTCGAAGACGGGGATTGTTCGCTCTCAAATAGTGCAGCGTCGATGGGCGCGGTCGTGGAAATGTCGCGGAGAGGCCCAGTTTGGTTCGCTGTAGAGTAGGGCGCGACTGTTCCGCTTATAAAGATGCGACAAGAATGAAAGAGTGCAAAGGGTGGCAGACAAAGGCGCACAGAGATCCGGTGAGGCGGGAGCGCAGAAGTGAGTCGGTCAGAGTTGTCGTGGTTCTCGAGGGATGCACATGCCCGGGCGGATTGCCGGAAGGGAGTCGTAGCGGCAAATGTGTGGTACTTTTTCTGGTGTCAGAATGGTTCGGCTCGTCGGGGTATGTGGGAGCAGGGCGCACATATGGCGCGCGACGTGCGAAAGGAAGGCTGCGACAAGAAAGACGCCGGCTGCAGAGGCGGTGATGGAGGCAAAGAACAGAGAGAGAGAACCGGGCGGAGGCGATTGGGATCAGTGGCCCAACCGGTAACTTTGGCGGTGGTGTGGATGGGTGGCCGAGACTTGACGACCCAGGAAGCTGGGACGAGGTACTGATTCAACAGCGGCGGCGCCAATATACCCAGTACTTGTAGAGTGGGCGACGGCGAAAGGGTGGTTCGGGCAAAGCCAAACAACCCACCTCGGACCCAGCCAGGTATTTTGTCGCTTGGTCGCTCGCTGGTGGCGCTGCAATTAGCTCTGGTAGGGATTAGCGCCCTGGACAATTTGATCCCTGGACTCGCCGTCGAAAAGTCTCGCCCACACAAACTTGGCTGGATGTGGTGCTAGCTTGGGCTTGTGGTAGCGGCCGTCTTGTTCAAGCTCCAGAAGATGGCGGGACGAAGGGTTCACAAGCTCAGTAAGGAATGTCGGGTGTCACTAGCGACTACTGGTGCTGTCAAAGCTTGGTTAGTCTGCGAAACTGGTCAAAGAGTACCAGTACGGATTAAAGGAAGGACATACAGTCACAGATTCCCCCAAATGACCTTTTGTGAGCGGCAGGCTGGCGAGCCGGCAAGAAAGCTGGTGGTCTTGTAAGCAAAGGATGGGAATAATCTGGCAACTGGCTTATCGGCCATGCGTGCTGCTGATCATCCGCATTGTTCTCAGGAGGTAATTTGATCTACAACAAGACGGCGGCCGCGGGACGGGACAAGTTGAGGCCTCACGGCGGTTCGCCACGGCAAAATGACAACAAACGGACGGAGGTGGTGGTAGTTGCCAGCTGGCAGGCGAAGAGGCAAGCAGCCTTTGTTCTACTGGTAACTAACTACCTACGCTACAGTCTACAGAGGAAATATCCGTACCTACCTACCTTACGGAGTAATAGTTGCCAGCTTGTCCAACTCCACACCATGCAAACAGTCGTTTTACCTATAACATCATTAATTACTCAATTATTGCATAGCTAGTCTATCGGCAGACCTTGACCAACATTGCTCGTCCGTTGTTGCTTGCATAGGTATGCATCGGGCTGCATCTTTCAACGTGGCCCAGCCGCTAACTACAGCATACCTGCAAAGAAGCTCGCCGCCCTCATCATCCAGGTCGTTCATTGCTCCTCAACTATCAAGCACTACGGAGTACCCCATCACAAGTGACGCATCATGGGCCATGGCCTTGCCCACGCCCATTAATGCAAGTCGCAGGCAGATCCATGCTCCCGCTTCAATCCCGGAACCCAAAATGGCGCCATGTCTGGGGAGCAAGGCATGGCTTCTTCTTCATCGCTTCGACCAAAGTATCCCCAGATACTCTGACTTGGGCAAAAGGTCGAAATTGCGGTGAATGACGCATGTTTCCCCAGAGACGGCCAGCAATAGTCGACACACGACACGGCTCGACGACATCCAACCAACCCATGCAGTTAGCTGGAGTGTCTGTCAGCATTTCCCCGTTGGTGCCCAATCGAATGGTACGCGTTAATGAGCGCCCCGCCACCTTTTGAAGCAAATGTTCCACTATGCGGCACAAGTTACAACCACACAACTCTTGCTCCCCTCCCCAATCCCCGCCGAGCCCTCGAGCCTTGTCCAACTTTCTTGCATGGATGGATGCCAATACCAGGTTGTCACGCAAGCGGCAAGGCCTGCCACGCGCCGATGATGTGGGCGACATATTGACGGGGATCATGGGTCAGCTGGCTGATAAATAAGTCGCGAAGCTGGGATGCTTGTATCGTTGTTCCTGGAAGTGCTTTCGCATAGAATACGATACGCGCCTCGCTCAGGCCGTCTTTGGCTGACCGCTCGCTCACCCTGATTTCTTTTATCGAAGCGACTTCTTTCAATTCCACACGACCGGTCAGCCTCCGGCCGCTATGGGTGGCAGCGCCGGTCTATACAGGTACCTGTGTAATTTATTGTACCTAGACTCAGTACAGAACTAGTTATAGTGCTCGCGTTAGCGTCCTCGCCGGCCCAAGCCCGATCCTTCCTAAAGCTTGGCTTTTATTGCTGTGCTTGACAAGAACGCCTGAAGTAGTGATTCATGCAGAGATTCCTGCAGTTCAGTATGATGCATGGATGTGCGCTCAGATCTCTACTCCGTCACAGAGCAGAGACACAAAGCAGAGCTTCGGGGTAGCGTGATCAGTCAATAAGCAAGGTCTAATAAGACCAGCTCCCAGCAGCTACCAGCATAGTGACTCGGATAATAAAACGCTTTCATCACGGAGTACATCCGAGCAATAGCAGTAGTTTTATTTATCTATGATGAGACGTATAATGGCAATACGGCCCATCAATATCAGCGGCTTGCTGCGTGAATCTGGCAGGGTAACTCCGCCGTAACCTGTATGTATTGCTCGTCCATAGCAGACACTGGTCAATATTAGATCTTGATTTTCAGCGCGCTGAATGGTTTACCGCCATTGGCAGGCAGATCCTATTTCGTCCTTTGTAACCTGACAGCTGGAATAAGAGTGGGTAAACAAAAAACCGCCGCCGCCTTCCCACACATGCCCCATCATTCCCCAACGACGCGAAGAGACTCGATTTCAGTCTATACGTATAGTTAGGCGAGCCATGACTATAGGGGTCAATGAAAATGAGCATAATGTAGTGATACACATTTTTCATACACCCACCTTCCTAGATGGGTGCTGTGATAGGTTGCGACTACCTGACTAACACCTTTAACTTTAATAATTCTTCATCACGATAAGAAAGTAATCAATTTATAACTTGGAATCTAAGATGAAGAATAATCTATGTTTCTTTGACTTTTTTTTTTACCTCTCGATTTAAATACATGAATAAGGGATAGAAATGCGACTGGTCCGCTATTTCGGCTGGGTGGCGCTACATAAACCCGTCGTTCAGCCAGTTCGTAAACCTTTGTTGGGCAGCATGCGGGCGCTTAACAACAGAAGCTACTCGACGGTCGCTTGGCACCAACCGTGGTAAATTTGACACGCTGACATCGAAAAAGCAAGCATGAGCGACTTTGACTTGACATCGAGCAACGGCGAAGCCTTAGAAAATAACGGGAACAGTGCGGATAGTCATCAAAACAACAACTCTGACACGAGCAAGGAGCTGCCCCCGGCCCCCCGCATTGGCGTTGAGGACGCTGACGTAGGCAAGCCGGCCAACGCCAAAGAACCAGTGCCAAAGCATGAGACTCTACAAGAGGTAATAGACCGGAAACGCAGAGAGAAAGGATTGCCGCCTGTTCCCAGAATACCAAACAGAGAAGGAGAAATCGAAGAAGGTTTGACGCATTGTTGATTAGAGGTCGTCTCTCAGCCTCGCTAACATCCGCAGGCCATAAGCTCCTGCACTCTGGCTTGGCAAGATATGTCGTCCTACGACCAGACAATGTCGTCGTCAAATTGGGGTCATACTTGAACCTTGATGAGGTCGATGCGATGAACTTTGCCAGAAGCGTAGGCATTCCCGTCCCAGAGGTCCTCGGCTGGGGAGAGCAGAGGAATGCGGAGGGGCATTATGAGCATTACATTGAGATGGAGTACGTAGAAGGAGCCACGCTGGAAAAAGCATGGCCTGATTTGTCCGATGAGACGAGGCTCGATATTGCCCATCAGCGTCGAGAAATTCTCAGAAAAATGCGTGCGATACCCCCTCCGGAGAACTATATCGGCAGCTACAACAGCGACAGAATCGTTGACGCCCGAGGCATGTCCACGTTTGTCCGTCCGGCGTGCCAAAATGAGGAGGAGTTCAATGCATTCCTCACAGCGGAAAAGGGCATGGCCAAGTCGGTCAAGGAAGCCTACAGAACTAGCATAGGCAAGCACAAGATCGTCTTTACACACAGCGACATCGCGCCGAGGAACATTATGGTGCGGGATGACCGCATCGTTGCCATCATCGACTGGGAGGGCGCCGGTTGGTACCCCGAGTACTGGGAGTATGTCAAGTTGATGCACTTTCTTGATCGGTGCCCTGGTTGGAAAGGTCTCGTCGACGAAATCTTTCCAGAGAGTTACGCTTTTGAGCTCTTGTATACACTGGTCTCCGATGTTACCAAGACAACTGGGATAATGATCCTTACGAGTCCAAGAAGGGGCGAAATCAACAACTGCCCAAAAGAGCTCCGCCAGGACGAGCACTACAAGCGCGATGAAATAACTATCGGGTGCATACTCAATCTGCAGGATCAAGAAAAACGGGACAGAGTTGCTGAAGTGAACAACAGCCTTGAGTGCGCAATAGCTTCCGCGTCAGTGCTCACTCATCGGAAGCTTCCCATGGTAATCCCAACCATACCATCATAGGCGTTGTAGTACTCATCGTGATTGATGTAGTTCTCGTTCTTCAAGGCTAGGAGCCCCTTTTCACACCATTGCACACAGTTGGAGTCGCCGTCGTTAAGGACAGCCACGCTATCCATCAGGCGGTTCATGCCCTCCAAGGTGATGGTCATCTGCTTCACGTGAAGCCTGCCACCAATGTTGACGCTGTTTTCTGGTAATCGGCTCGCTTTCCCAATTTGAAGCGCCCACTTTCGCAGTTGATGTGGAAGGTGTAGCCGGTGTTCTTGGCGGGGACGTTAAAAAATAAGATCTCGAAATGTGACCGCAGCGCAAAGACCCTGATCAGCCTCACCACTTACTCAGTCACAGTACAGTATCATTATATACCTCGTACAACCTGAGTCCATCACAAGCTGCCCCACCACATGCTGGCCACTTCGGCTATTTTGCTTGCTTTTGCAAGCGTTTTTGGGTGACACGAATAGTCTCATGACGCCTACTCCATGCATGCACTTCACTTCAATATTTGGGGCGTGTACCATCGTGGACCGCTTCTCAGGCAATATTTTAGTATATTGGCCACGTTCAGTTTGCCCCCAAAAAAGCCTCATCTGCCCCTGCACATGCCACTTACACGACCCTCGAAGCGTCCCAATATCCCCACTACACGGTTTTGCAGACACACGACCCCATCTAGGTTATCATTCAAAATCTAAATAGTGTTTCTCCGTTTTAATACGTCGTTGAAAATTTTCTGACCTCGTCACGCCTATACAGAGTCTCGAGAAGCGCCACGTGTTCGAATCCGCCTCCTGAAGCGGCCAGAATCTGCTCATCGACAGCATCTCTTTTCACTGCAGATACTGTTGCACAGTAGCTGACAGCGTCTGACTTCCCTCACATTGGCTGGAGGCCTCTCCGATCCCCCTACTGGGCTTTCCACAGTCGGCCTGGGGGGTGGTGTAGTCTCGGGTTGCAGTGTCACGGAGTGTATGCCGTACGCATGGAAGCACTCCAAAATGGTCTTGGCGGTGACAAGCCACTTTCCACTGAAGCCATTGTTTACCACAATGTGTGCCGATGCAATCGACTTTCTTTGGTCGAGCTTCCATATGTGCAGCTCATGGACAGAGTCAACGCCGGGTATCTACATGCATGTGTATTAGTAGGATTCCTCGACGTTGTGTGGTAGCAAAAGCCTGACCATTTCGATATCCTCCTTGATATCCTTGATGTCGATCTCCTCGGGCGCAGTCTGCATCAAAATACGCCCAGCTTTCTTGGTCAACGGTATCGCAGTGAAAAATATCATAATGGCGATGAAAACTCCAATGGCTGGATCGGCGTAGTACTTCTTTTCTCCTTCCACTCTCCAAATAATCAACGCCGAAATTATGACGCCAACATTGTTTATCGCGTCGCCAACAACATGAAGGAATGCGCCCATCATGCCGAGGTCTCTGTGGCTGTGCGCCGCAGCAGCCATTTGGACACTGTGCTTGTGTTCCACATGACTAGTAATTGACTATTTCCAAAATGTTAATATGATGCTTTCAGTTTCCGAAAAAAGTAACACTTGCGCTCAATTCCGAGCCCTTATCACTGTCGCCGACAGGAACGTTGGACTCGATAGCCTCTTCAGATACCTGTGTCTGGGGTTCTTTATCATTGTGATGGCTGTGGCTGTGGCTGTGTACATTTTCGGGATTGTGTCCGTGGCCATGGTCGTGATCGTGCTCTGTCTAACGATTAACAGCGCTCTACTAGGAAAAGGAGTTTTCACAAACCGTGCAAAAATGACATTACTAGCACATTCAGTGCGAGCCCAACAGATCCAATGATGAGGACAAGTTTTGGATCCTCGATTGCTGTCAGACTATTAGAAAATCTTCATCAACATGAGCAAGGAAGTGAGGAAAGCTGACGGGAGATGTTGATGAACCGCTCGATGGCTTGAACCAGAATGCTGATTCCGAGTGCTAGCAGAAACACGCCGTTGAAAAAGGCACCCAAGAGGGTAGCTCGTTGCCACCCAAATGTATAGCCTGGCGGCGCCGGAGTTGAGCCTTCAGACACCTAGGCATATGTGAGAACAGACGTTTCGCGCAGACGGGTACTTTGCCTACCTGTAGGGCTGCTAAAGCCACAACGAAGCCTAGCAGATCGCTCAGCTACACAAGGGTCAGAATGTGTTTCGAACTTGTTGCCATATTGCTCACATAATGGAAGGCATCAGCAATCAGCGCAAGAGAATGCGTGTAAAAGCCAGCTGCCGAGGTCAGCTGTCAGGTCGCCCTAGCATCGCTTTCACAACGTACCTGCAATCTCAGCGACGAAAAATGCCAACGAAATTGCAATAGTCGCAACGAGGCGGTTGCGGCGATCGAAGCGAAATCGACCCATGCTGACTGACGACGAGCCTGAGAAGTGGACGGCTCAACTTCAAAAGGCAGGCTTCTATAAGGCGTATCACTTCGAAAGATGTCGCTGTGATTTGAACGAGACGCATTCGTGAAAACTCAAACGTCCAGTGCTAGCTACTGGCACAATACTCTGGCAGTCGCCAGTATATAAGCACTCTGGATTGGACTCTACGCTGTCATCCACTTGACGATCATCCTGTGAAACAGAACACTCACGCTATGATGACCCGATTCCTTTTCCAGTGAGACATGAGTCTGGTGCAGTCTTTACGGATGGTAGACGGTGATTCAGCTTTATGAAGCAAACTCTGCGGATGGAACGTAAAGGGACCGCTAGCCTTGGTAGTGGCAAGTCGGCGATACGGCATTGGATTCGCGAGCAGTCCTTGCATTCTTTCATATACTCAGTTGTCGCAATTTGATGATTCTGTCACTTCAGTACGGTCGTTACTCCCCGATTCCTGATACATCAAGGCTGCGGAACCTGAGCCACTTTCGGGTCCGTTTCAAGACGGTGATGCCGCACGGTGCTAGCCGGTAAATCATCCTCAAGGTGGGTGTTTGCGCTGTCACTGGCGTCGTGGAACACACAAGGTAGTATGGTTTGCAATGGATATGTCCATTTTGCAATGTCACATCAAGACTATTTTGTGTACCAGAGCTTTGGACGGTGATTCCGAAATCGTAAAGTGACATCGCTGATGATGGCTTTGGTGCTACGCTACGGACGAAGCACATGGGCAGAATGCAGCAAGTTGGAAGGACTTGACATCGTTCTGGAATCCAGTTTGGCCAACGTGTCACGAGCTCCGTGCGAGGAGGGCATGGGGGCTGGTGTTCGCGAGGCTAATCTGATTCACTTTTGATGTAATGAAAGCGCCCACGCGCATTTTATGCGATGGCGGGTTGAGTAGCCTGAGCGAACTAAAAAGGGAAGGCGGTGTGGAGCTTTAGCCATTAGAGGTCTGGATTCTGCCGCACCAGTCAATACGACTCATCAACATTCGCATGCCTGGATCAATCAATTCGTTCAGACGCCGTCGCTACGTGCAAGAATATTCATCGCGGGAGCCATGCTTCACCTTTCGCCTCCGTATGTTATTGATGCCGCGTCAGTCGCTAGTCGGTTCCCATGTCCCGCAATGTTGGCGTCGCTCCGTCAGGTCCGCGTAAAGGACGGCCGTGGTCTCATCTGCGCGAACCTATAGCGCCTGGGAATGGTATTGATCGTAAATCTACCGCATCTCCGAGCTCCATTACTAGCACTTCAACGCGATCCACAATGCGAGAGGACAGAACGCGCCGAGTCGAGCGCATTTGCACAGTGGTGGTCGCGGAAGGATATATGCGCGATGAGGTTCTCCTCAATCTCGATGCGGTGCGACCGGAGGTGCGGCCGGGAATGCTGATGGCCATCTCCGCGATCAAATCCGAAACTGCAAAAGCTTCTGGCGGCCACGGTAGCTTGACTAGGCAAACTCAGGACGCCAATGAGGCCTCCAAGGCGGCTGCGGCGCTGGCCAAGGACCGGACCGCGCTTGGTCATCGCTATATTTTCGTCGTCAAGGATATGCCTAGAGAGATGAAAGCGCGTAACCAAGATGCAGAGGTCTGTATTGTTCGCCATATTTCAGATGCTTTCGGGATGAAACGAGGAAGTCAAGTTCTTCTCACTCCTGTTGACGAGCACCATCGCGCAATGGAGGCGTCGCATGTCGAGCTCTGTTTCAAAGACGAATACCTATCACGGGCAGACATGTGGCGCCTGGCCGTAGATGAACTTACAGAGCGCACAGTATACAAGGGGCAATCGATATTGTTCATGGGTACCATCAAAGCCCAAATTACTGCCGTGTTTGTTGAAGGCGAAAGCGTGCATTCTGGTCTCTTTGTTCGCGATACTCGACCCATATTCCGAAGCGAATCCGCCAGATATGTCTTGTTTATACAAATGGCAAGGGAGATGTGGGACTTCGATACCGAGACGTCTGGAGAGATCATGTTCAACCGCGTCGTCAACGGCTTCCTGCCTGCTTTATTCAAGCGCTGGGCTCTGCTAAAGGTCAAGCACCTCGTCAGCATTGTATTGTTTGCGCGCGTGGAATACGACACTGGCCTTGCATCTGATCTGGGCAGCGAAAGCCTTCTGGACGAATACTTTACTGGAGTACAGCCCTTTGGCAACAAGCGACCGTACAAAGACTTTTACCGCGTGGTTGTTAGCGACATGTCCAGCGGCGAATGGACCAAGATTCTATATCAGCTCAAGAGAGAGTTCAACTTCTTTCGCCGAGACATAAGCCTCCACCACCAGAGCGTGCCTCTTTCTGGTGAAACCAAGTCCAGCGGCGAAGGGGATGTAGACGCACTGACGGCTTTGACTCGCATCAAAGCTGAGCCCTCTCTAGCCATTCATGGCAACGTTCTGGAGGCCATCCACCTTGCGTCATCCCAGTATGCCCATGATTACATTGATCGAGATCTCAATAGAACCGGCATCTCGATCGCTGTCATCACGCCAGGCCCAGGCATCTTTGAAGTCGACTATGAAACTTTGCGACGCACAACAGAGGCACTCGTGGGGAACGGCATAGGCATTGATCTGATCTGCCTACCAGGAATGCCTCTTCACTCCGTCCCCCTCTTCAAGTACCCGAATCCTCATTTTTCGGATGAGAGCACGAAACATCGAAACACTCTTTCCAGGTCATTCCATAGCCACAACAGTACTGGAAGCCATCCAACTCCAATCATTGGCAGTTACCAGTCTCAAACCGACTCGTTCTCTCCCACCAAGATATCGCAGAACATGATGAGACACGTTGAGTCACTTGCATCAACGCGGAACGCTGAAGAGTGGAGTTGTGCTCTGCCTCAGTGGCTGCATGTTTCGTTCTGGACGGGTCGCGACGAGTCGTTGGCATATGAGGGTATTGCCCTCTCTGTTTCAACTGCCAAAAGTATGAATGACGACGATTTCGAAATGCGATGCCGAATGTATGGGCTCCAGATGAGAAGCGCGCTAGACACCAACGAGATTGAGACGGCAGCCTTGAGCTCTGATCCTAACTTTCCCACAAAAGCATCACTGTCATCGAAAAAGCGACAAGACTTTGCGTCAGAAAGCCTGTACGTGCCCTGCCGTAAGGCCCAGGAAGCCCTCGGAGACAGTGTGTATGGCTTTCAAAAGTTTGTGCCTGAAAAAATAGCGCGTACTGGAGATTTAACGCTCTGGAAGAAGCTGCAGGCATTTGATGACTCTCGAGCCAAGCTCTCGACACCTAAACGTCGCCCACACCATCACAAGCCAGTCCATGATACAGATGAGGTGTCACGGAAATATCAGGCTGATGACACCGCTTTGCTCGGGACTTCTGTTCCGGATCGAGCAACGCTCCATCCACCGCCGCACCAGACCCCCCGCAAGTTTTCTATGGCTGAGCCAGAGCGTCCATCACCAACAGCCGTTCAAAGGCCTTCTGAGCCTCCCAAGAAGAGCCTCAGCAAGACACCCTCGGCATCATCCTTCACGGCTAGACAGCCTAAACTGATGCGTCATATTAGCCTAGGGCAGCGTGGCTTTGGCATTGCTGCCCCGAAAGCAGCTATAGCGGAACTTAAAGTCGAGACTGTCAATGCATCTCCCGCCTTCTCTTCTGACATACGGAATTCTTCTAATTCTCGACCACTTTCTGACATGAGGCCATCAACACCAGGAAGCATACGAAGCCAGTCGTCAACACTCACAGCTAAGAGAGTCAAGTTAATCAAGTCGGATCTGAACGAGCTAACGTCCGAAACGCCATTACCAACTCCAAGCATTCCGATTGTGCATAAAGAAGGACATACTAAAGATGGTCCGGCCAATAGCACTTTGAAGCAGCCGGCACCCACCTTGACACCATCCAAGTCACGCGATAGATTGCGGGGTGAATCAGAGCTACGCTATTCGAATTTTATTCGTTCCGAAGATGTCCAAAAGATGTACAATAACAAGCTGAGGGCTGGCGTCGCTCCCGGGTTGCAGCTGCAACCCGAACTTCCAGTCACACTATCGCCAACAGCGGCGATCACCCCGTGGCTTACATTGCTAAACCCCTCCAATCCAGAGAAATATCGCATCGACGATGCGATTCTATATAGCCGCTGGCAACATGTGTTTCCGAAGCCCTCCGAAATGAGAACACAAAAGTGGAAGACTCTTTGCTGCCCTGCCTCCGTCCCTTTGACAACGGAATACTTTCCTACAAAGGCACAATTCGATGCTGAGTACCAGCGTCATCCTTATATTGTGGATCAAAACACCGACGACGACAACGAGCCCATGTCGCGCAAAGACTTTATGAAGGAACTGATCAGCCTCCGCTTCTCACAAGGCTTTCAGGTTGTCGTAGGCTCGGCCGTTGCCAAAGCCTTTGGGCAGAAGATTATCAAAATCGCAGACATATTTTCACGAGATCAGACCTTTGACGATGGAAACAGCGTCTTCATGTCAGTGGGAAACACCATTCACCAGCTTTCTTGCGTCAACAGCAGCGAGATTGAAGTCAACATCTTTCTACGAAAGCCAGCGCAGACAGCTGCGGAGTTCTCTACACTGTACAAGCCTGCCGTTCAAACAATACTGGACTCCACATACGAAACGAGATCCATTGAGATGCTCAATCCTAAACCGGAGAGGAACTGGAACACGATTGATTCATACTTGGCAGGGCACCACGAAGAACTTATGGAAAGCTTACGATTCTGGCGAACAAGATACGTGCTCATCCCTCTGAGCATGAGATATTCTGCTTCAACCAAAAATCATCTTGAAGACAACCCCGAGGAGGTCCGCATCGAGGGCATTCAGAGACTGGCTCAGCTGTGGAAGAAGCATCGGTACGTCTCGGCATCAGAACGGAGATTTCAGGGCCCGGCTCGAAGCCGTATTCTGGACCGCAGCCCCTTGAATATCATCTATAAAACCGACGATCCTTCACTAGTCGTTGCAGTGGAGCTTGGCAACCTTCCAACACTTGAAAACGCCGAATATTCTTCGAGCAAGGGAAATCTGATTGTCCGAAAAGATTTGTTCAGACGTTCAAATTTGAACCTGACGGCTTTGGCCGAGGCTCTGCAGCAGCCAATCGAAAACGGCGGTGTTCCTCTACGGAACAGGCGCTGGCATCTCCGCACGCATTACAATTCCTTCATTGGGTCAGACATGACGACGTGGCTCTTGAAGAATTTCGAGGATCTTGAGAACCGCGAAGAGGCGGAAGACTTGGGTAACGCGCTCATGGTTACGACTTCAAAGGACAAGGACAAGGAGCAGAGCAAGGACGAAGACGCTGAAAAGGGCGGTGATGCAAAGAATGAGAAGCCTCGCGGCCTCTTTATGCACGTCGAAAAGAGACATCAATTCCGCGATGGAAACTATTACTACCAGATTGTTCCAGAGTTTGCCAAGGCCCAACCAGGCTGGTTTGGTAGCAGGAAGAAAGATGCTGTATCATCACCAGCCGATAACAGCCGTGACTCGTCGCGGCCTTCTGTTCCTCGTTCTGTTGCCACCACCGAGGAGCCTTCCCTCGGAGCACCTTCTCCAAGCGGCATCCATGTTCCTGGCGCCAACAAAGCCCCAAACTCCAACCTGCCGGTTATACAGCTCAGCAAGGTTTTAAAGTACGACGTGGATCATCGGAAAAGATCATATCGGCCTGAACGCATTGATTTGCATTACGATCGCTTGCACAATCCCGACAATTGCTTCCATATCCGCATCGACTGGATGAATACGACGGCAAAACTCGTCTCGGACTGTGTAGAGGTATGGGAGCGGGAGGCGAGCCAGTACGGTCTGCGTCTTGTGGAACTGCCCATCAAGGAAGCGTGTCGCATTACGGAAGCTAATCCTTTTCGTAAACCACACGAAATCAAGCTCGTCGTCCCACCGCCACAACAGATGCCAGAGACGTACCTCGACCCAAACTCGCTTGGTCCGGTAAGGGTGCATAGTAGACACTTTTACCAGACTGCGATCCTCAAACACTTTGACTTTGTTCTGGACATGGAGGCGGCGTCGAGCTTCCCGAGCAACGTTGAAATTCGCTACTCGTGGGGCAAGCCCGACTTTAAGTACACGCAGTACATTCATCGGACCGGCTTGCTGCTCGCGCAAATCACGGACGAGGGCCAATTTCTGGTGCTGGCCAACAGACTCTACAGCAAGCGAGTATCCTTGGCCAGAGAAAAGGAGCTGCGGGTGCAGTCCAACGTCGAGGTCGCCCCCTTGTCAACCGCGGAAAGGAGCGCACGCCTCTTGTCGCTGGGTGGCTTCGCGTCGTCAATGGCCATGGCAGTGGCTGACCCGACGCCCGTCTCGTCGCCGATTGCGCGTCCCACGTTTGGCCAGTTTTCCCCGGCCTTGGGACCCAGTGACGGTCAATCCCCGGGCCCCTCGCAGCCAAAGCCGGCGCATGCGCACCGCGACAGCAGCAGTCACCCTCAGCGGCCGCTTCACCACTACCACCGCTACCTCCATCCTCTGCAGCAGCTCATGGAACCCGAGGCCATCAAGGACATGCTGGAAGCGTTCTGCAAGGACCCGGAAGCGCTCGAGTCGTTTTACCGCGATATTCTGGAGCGAGGCGAGCGCGTTCCCGGTACCCCCATGACGGCGTCCACCGTGCTGTCGGCGCCGACGCAGGATCAAGTGCCCGAGTCGAGCATTCCTTCGCTTGGCCTGCCGCCGGGCGTGCTGGCTGCGCATCAGGAGCTCTTGAACGGCGCGGATGGCAATAATGGGTCTGCTGGCGGTGGTCTGTCGGCTAGCATTCGCGGGAGTGTTGGCAGCCCAATGTCCATTTTGCGTCGAGGCAGTGTTCAGTATGATGGGCAGGGGCTTGGCTCAAGGAACAATAATTAAATGGTTCGTAGTGGCAAGGGCGGTGTGAATTGAGGCCAGAGTACAGAAGGATGATTCAGTGTACGCTACCTGTTCATAATACTAACGGCCAGCCAGAGTCGCGTGCCCGACTGTCCGTCGGTGGCGCTTCTGTCTCCAACATTCAGAATGCCGCGGCGTCCCCCGCATCCCCAGAAAGCAATTTTGTCCAAGTGACCCCGCGCCGGGTGTGTACAGGTCGGGTAACAACGTATTTATTCTGAGGACGAGCACCGACCTCGCGGGCCTTGCCTGCCTGGGGGCGACGAGAAGAGACAGACTAGTACAATATATATACCAAAACACTTCTCACTGAGGATGTTTATTCACTGGGTCAAACCACTGCACTTGTTCACACGAGTCAGGCCGCTAAGAACCAGTTTCCTCGCCAGTTCTTGGGCTTTTTTGGAGGTGGAATAATGAAAACAGTCACAGGTCCGGGTTTGACTCACCGCACTGGTCGCCTCTGTTTGCCTCTGTTTGCCTCTGTTTGCCTCTATTCGCCTCTATTCGCCTCTATTCGCCTCGCTGTTTGATATGCTTGGAAATGGCAAGAAAAGGGCTTCCTGAATGGCCCACCGAGTTCGCCCATGTTCTCGAGTATGGCTCTTCCCCGAAGCAGTAGTAACAAAGAGACGGCGTATACACCATGCCCCTTTTGGCAGTTAGACTGAGAAAATAGTTTAGTTGCCGAGCTTCAGATTCCACAACACCAACAACTTTCCATCTCCACACATATATGGAGACGATCTCTGGTTGACAATGGACAAGCTTTTTGGGTGAGTCGTGTTTCCTTCTCGCCCCTATGCCTATTTCTAGTATAGAATGAGGGGGGACATAGAAGCTGTGAATAAAGAGAGTGGCGCAAGACCGGTATTATATAAAGAGGACGCTGTGATCTCGTCTCTGACCAGTTCAGCATTTTAGCCGTCAATCAATCATATTTCATTTCGTCATCATGCCCAAAGTCTCATGCTGCGCGGACCATCAAGCCGGCAAGCCCTTCCCCACAGAGGCTGGCAAGGAGCTTACTACAGTCTACGCAAGCGATCCTACCACTACCCCCGAATTCCTAGAAGCCATTTTGGAGAGAGATGGAGCGGTTATTGTAAAGAACCTTGTGTCCAGGGAGTTGTGCCAGCAGATCCGAAAAGACCTCAAGTCGTCTTTCGACACTGATCGCGTGGACCCATCTGGCTTCTTTCCCACGACAACGAAGCGCGCATATAGCATCTTGGCCAAATCTGACGCTTGCGCTGAGCTTGCTGTCAACCCCGTCTTTCTCGGTGTGGCAAACCAGATGCTCACGAGCCACTACACGTACTGGGAGGGTCAAAAGCAGCTCCATGTGAGCGGCAAGCCGCAAATCACCACCATGGTCGGGTTCCGCGTCGAGCCTGGTGGCTCGCAGCAATCGATGCATAGGGATGACGCCGACTATCATACCCGCAACTGCGACATGCCAGTCATGATGGGCTGTGTCACGGTGAATATCACTGTTCAAGCCACAATGAATACTTCTGACAAGTAGCGTTAGGCATTGACAAAGACGACCAGAGAGAATGGTGCCACAATTATCATTCCAAAGAGCCATCTCTGGGGCCCGGACCGCTGTCCTCTGGACGAAGAGGCCATTCCAGCCGAGTTGGAAATCGGCGATGCCGCCATATTCCTGGGCAATGTCTACCACGCGGGCGGCGCAAATGTCACCACTGACGATGCCCGCGAGACAATCGGTCTGTTCATGTGCAAAGGTACACTTCGTCAAGAGGAGAACCAGTACTTGGAGCTACCTCCCGAGGTGGCAAAGGAGCGTAACTTTTCGCCGCAATTGCTGAGACTGCTTGGATATGGAATCCTTCCACCAGCATTGGGCCTGTACAAGTATCAGGACCCGATGAAAGTAATTTTCGGTGTCAACGATGCCGAGACAGTGAATAAATAGAGCACTTGCCAATAAATCGGTAGGCAGCTAGCTTTCAAATCATTTTCAAACCACCAAGATTCGGAATCCTTTCATTTGCAGTTCCTGGGCTAGTGGTCTCCAGTCTGGCTGGTCGCCCGACCAAAACGCGTTCAAAAAGCTCAAAACTCCCTCATAATGGCGGAAGCTGGTGGCTGAAAGAATTTTTCCAAGAAGGTCCCGAACGATTTGTTGCCGATGTGTATCAGCCCAACACTCCGTCCCTGCAATGAAAACGGGCCAGGGCAGATTTTGTATGCAAATGCCAGGATACTGAAAGCGAAGAAGTTGTTCAAACAGCTTCGTCACTGTGGGCTGCCAATCAGCATTATCGGCTGTAGCATACCCCAAGCAGCGGTAGGAATACAACACGGCAGTATAATGATAGACATCCACCAAGCGAATAAAATCCTGACGCATTGCCGTTTGCTCGATTCCCATTCGTCCGGCTGCAATCAGAGTGGCACCTCTGGCTTGTGCGAATTTGTACCGAATCAAATCAGGTGTTAGGCTGACACCGGTGAGTAGTGCATCAATCTCTTCTGGTATTGGAGACGGATACCTCGAGGCAAGAGTTACTTGGTGTAGATTCGTTAGATAGTCGGCGAATAAAACGTTGTCGGAGCCCGGCGTTGGCATGATAGTGTTTCGTATGTCCTCCAGATCAAAGGAGGTTGTCGATACGAGAACATCATAAATGGAAAGTTGATTTCGGAGGAAGGCAAAGAGCCCGTCATTGCAGCCCTTTTTGCCGCTAAAGACGTTGACGAGGGTTCTAGCAGCTAGTCTGTGTCCTTCGGCTGCCGACGATTGAGAGTTGGACATTTCGTAGCAGGCTATCATCAAGATACATGCCAGCATCCATTCGGCGTCTGCAATGTCTCTTTGGTTGTCAAGCTCGGCTCCTTTGGTCAGCCTGCTCGTCATGTCCTGCACGCGAGTATGGATCACCCCGAGGCAGGCATCGCGAGCCGCTTCGGGAAACAACTCCATGGCATGCTGGAAGTGAGAAGATCCGTGGTGCGAGGCGAACGCTGCCACGGCAAACCTGAGGCCAGGGGTGTTTTGCGCCCTCGGCAGCACGGTTCGCCTGTAGTCGTTTTCTGCAGAGTCGACCCAAACCATCAGGCCAGCCAAGTTCTTATCATAGTATTCAATCAGCTGGGGCATCGAGTTGCTGAGAGTCGTCTGAAACGCATCAGGTGCCGGAAGCTGTAGCAATTGCATTCGCTGCGGTGCCATAGCAGTCGGGCTGGCTCGCGCCTGTTTCACCGTTTGCTCAACGAGCGGCACCCTGCGGCCCTTGAGCTTTCCTCGAATTGCCACGCCGTCTGCCCATCGCAGTCGAGGTCCATAGCCTGGACAAACGAGACCCTTCTTCTCGCACTTTACGCAGGTTGGGCGGCTGCCATCACACCGGATGCGCCGCTTGGTGCAAGTGCTGCAACCTGGGACAAGCCATTAGCAGGGCCGTATGGGGAGTGGGAGATGAGGGCATCGTACCCTCGGCCGACGGCGAGGCCTCTTTCTTGTCCATGCTTGATACGCAACTGAGAAAAAGGCTCGTCTCGAGTACGGGCAGGTTATGAAACTTGGCAAACAGTGACAAGGTCGGCGAGACAAGACTGGATGGGTCCTTACCTTATTAGTAGGGCCAGCACCGACTCCCTGGTCCTGGTACCTAGCTATAACAAGTTAGCAGCCAGCTACGGAGCCGTAGTATCATATTCGTACACTGCCCCGCCAAAGCGGAAATAGTTTTTTTGACAGTCAGGGAGGAGAAAAACGGTCACTAGCAGTTGGCTTTAAAAAAAAAAAGGTAAATCAGCTCGGTGGTGGAAGTACTGTGGTGCAGATGAATTACATGGGCTATATCTTAGAGCACTGAACCGGGTACCCGAGATAAGGCCTATCGAGGAGTCCTCGGTCAAAGGAATAACACATCTATTGCAGAACGGCGTCGGCCACGGGTTTTAGCCGTTATTGATGGTTGGCACTCGTCGGAGCATTTATTAGAGCTGAGACTAATCTCGACCAATATATTAGCATTGTATTGACTCAGGCGAACTGTGTCGCATGTCCTCCTGCCCCATCCTTCTGCGCATTGTCATAAGGCTAGCCCACTAGCCAAAATTTAAGCTCTGTCTGGGCCCTGTACTTCGAGTCAGTCAATAATAAATAATCCGTCATTAATCCGTCGGCATATTCCCGGGCGTGTCGATCATGCTCGTTTCCAGTTCCCTAACACAGTGGTCCGTATGTAATTCTGTAACTAGCCACCCATGTCAGGAACCGGCCACACCGGCTAGGAATTAGGCTTAACAGCACCTACAGAATTAAAGCATTATCTACTAATAAACCTACTTTAATATATATATATATATATATACATATTACAATATGTTTCTTCTAAAACAAGAATCTAAAAGTCCCCTTTTTTCTTTTTTTTAATTAATTTTCTTTAATTATTTATTTTAGAATCTAATTATATATAAGGTAGTAGATGTAAATAGGGCTCTATCCCTCCCTAGCTATTTAGGGTGTGCGATGAGCTGATTCCTGACTACGGTGGCTGGTTCCTGATATAGGTGGTTGAGTTGGACCTTGAAAGTGTTGCGCCTATCGTGCCACTGGCGTCCGCCGCCCTAACGTCGCGCAAGTGTAAGCTGTATCTACCAACATTCCATATAAGCGATTCGCTACTTAACTAGATATAGTAGTATTGAAGTGTTTGTAGCGTAGCGATCCTCTTGGTCATCGACGCTGTCTCAAAAAGGGGCTCGTTAGTAGGAGCAAGCTCGCAGCTAGATGTACGAATGCTTCGCCAATGGCGACAGAGGCTTCCATCTGCCAAGCCAATTCATTTAGTTCAATAGACGGATAGCATGATTGTGCGGTTACCAAGCCCTGATGAGTAGCTTGAGTCAGTTTGGGAGGAGGTTCAAGGTCACGAAAACCACTGCAATTCAGCACCGGGAGGAAACCTTGCGAGCCATCTTACTTTTGTGGGAATTACACGTATTGTCCTAGTATCCTTTTACGCCATAGGTACTTGGCCACGGCCGCACCGTCCTGTACCCGGACCAAGTAGCTGACAACTCTGGGTCGAAAGCCCTGTTAGTGACTTGAAACCTACTCCCTAACTGTCAAAGGGACAAGGAAATGAAAGGGTTGATTTCTCGTAAGTGATGTAAACATACTGAGTGAGTAGAATCGAGTCAGTAGCTCAGTATTAGGGTTGAACTAGATGTCTCCCTAATAATGTTGATTGATAATATAGAACAGGGCTATGCAGAGAATTGTGCCCCGAATGAAAGGCAACTAGGTGGTGTCCAAGTTGAACAGATAGTATTAACCTTTATAATGCTTTATGCGCTTTCCACCTCTACGGACGCTCGGCACTCTCCTTAATACACAGGCAAACAGCATTTTATCTGATCTAATAATACTGCGCGTGGCTTCGAGCATACAGTAGCTCCACCAACGTTTCATGGCAAGCCCGACTCAGTGCACTCGCTCCTCACTCCAGACATTGGCATCTAGTTAATATTACTTTAGCTAGAGACACTGACTCTATCAAAGCAGCTGCGGTCGAAAAAGGCACGAGAATTTCCGCTCACATGATTAAACTCGAAGCCACGGACTATAAAGGTGCTTTCAGTCCGTAGCTCAACGACGAGTGATCATCACATCATCTATCGGCCCTTTAGAGCAGCTCTCATACTACCAAAAGCCGACTTTTACATTCTTTCCAAGGTAGTCAAGATGATGAATCCAATGAACTGGGCCACTGCGGCTCTCGCATTTGCCGTCTCCGTGCAAGGTGCTGCCTTGCCTGCTGCATCGGGTGAGACCCTAGCCACTTTGCTCTGCGACACCAGAGCGCGGCCCATGCTAACGTGAAGAGAAGACCTACACGGACGCGCGGAGCCGCTTCCAACCGTCGTCTACCGAGGCAGCGGAAGCTCCCCCGATTCTATCAAGGAGCGCGGCGGCTTTATCCCTCGCGCACGCAACGAGAGCGAGCCCGTCTCCAACACGACCTTTGGCCTGCAGAGCCACCACATCGGCGAGAGGCGCACCATGTACACCTCAACGACGAGAAGCGTCCTCATGGGCGCGACCTTTGCCCTGCAGACCTTTGAAGGTGGCTGGGTCTACAAGATCCACCCGACGCCCAACATGATTGACCTGAACGAGTCGGGCTTCGAGATTCGCTTCAAGAGGGAGGAAGAGTTCTCGGCCCTCGGCGGCGTCCGCTGGGACCAGATCGAGGCCTGGGCTGAGGTGACCTACAACGGTCTGGTTAACGCCGGCATGCACCCGCATGATGTCGAGAGCCTAGTGAACATGGACGAGCCCCGAAGCCCGATGCCCCCCCTCAACTTCACGGCCAACCCGGACTACGACGCCAAGAAATACGACGGACAGTCCGCGAGCCCCGGACAGCCTCAGCTGGCAGGCGACGACGCTAACCTGGCCAAGTACAACGAGAAGACGCTCGAGGGGTATGCCATTGAGTTTATGGAGAAGAACGGCGGCCCGGTCGGCTTCGACGGCAAGTTTCCTCTTGGCAGTCTAAAGACTGATGCGCCGGCCGAGCCCACTACCGCTAGAGAGATAGAAGACAAGCTTTGCTCCAACTCGGATGAAGAGTTTGGCTTGACCACGGCTGATTGCCGCACACAGGTTGCGCAGTGCGTCTGCGAAGAGGGCAACAAGCCCAACTTTGACTGGAGCCTCATCACTGCCTGTATAAAGGCCAATTTGCGTCTTGTCTAAGTAGTGGTATAGACTGGGAACAATTTTTTTTTCTTTTCAAACCAGAACAGAATTCTATCGCCATGCTTGAGAGAGCGAATCTCGGATGTATGCGACTGTGTCACTATTGGATGGCTCGACGGTGCGCATAATACCAGTGATTTCGGCTCAGCCCAATACTCTTGTTTGAGAGTCAGCCTTTAAATTGCAAGAGTCATGACAGCATAACAAAGCAGTGGTGACAATGATCTTTGCCTGTTCTGCAGGGACATGGGTAGAGACTCCATTTTGTTCGAGTCATTCCCTGTCTGCATACACGCTCCTAGAGATGCCACTGGTTGGACCGAGTCGAGCGCAAAGCCAGGCAATAAATAGAAGAGCAGGATTGTCTTAGCCGGAAGAAGACTTTCGGGTCGACCCAGGGCCCAAATAAGCCGTTGTTGACAAAGTTTGAATCCATGCCTGGCATTCGCATCAGCCACTGCCGTTGGCTTGCGAGAACCGATCTGTGGTGGGCAAGTTGCTCACTTTCCTTGCGAAAGCTTACAAGTGATCGACTTTGTCTTTTGTCATTGCCTTGTTTCAACTACAACCGAAATTGTGAGACATATTCTTTGAAGAACTCACTACCAATTGACACCAGTGCTTAACTCTAGCAACGAACCTGGTCCACACGTCTCCAGAAGAATCATGTAATTTCGGCTACGTGTCATGACTTTTACCTTACTAGGCTACGTGGGACTGCAGTTGCTTCTTTCAGTCGGGGTTTCTCTCTGGAAAATGCAAGAATATTGCACTTGCAGTTCCTCGCAGTAAACCAGAACAGCTTCCGTGTCAGCCAACGGGGACGAGCACATGGAATTCAGAATTAAGTATTCAACGGAACAAAGCCTGCACATGTTGCCCCAGCGTCAACTGTCAAGATTGTGCCCGTAATCCATCGCGCTTCGTTGCCCGCAAGGAATCGAACAGCGTTGGCAACATCCCAAGCATTCCCCTCAGTCTTTAGTAGACTGCGATTGCGCCGAGCTTCTCGCATTTCTTGCGGCATTCCACTGCCTACATTGTATACCATGGGCGTATAAACCATTCCTGTATCGCGATGAGCCATGTCAGCAGGGTCAAAGGACACGGGTGGTGACGGTCGGCTCACCTGGGCATACACAATTGACTCTGATGCCATCCTGGCCATGGTTGGCCGCCATTGCCCTCGTCATATTGACGACGGCGCCTTTGCTGGTGGGGTACAGCAAACTTGGTGTTCCTCCCTGAAGACCAGCTACTGATCCCATGTTGACGATGCTACCTCTGATACTGCCATCGCCGGGCGCATTCTTGAGCATCGCAGGAATAGCATGTTTGGCCATGATCATCATGCTGGTGACGTTGATTTCGAGAGCTTTAGACCATGCTCCTATTTCAACGTTTTCTGCTGTTCCGGACGGGCCCAGTATCCCAACGTTGTTTACCAAAATGTCCAGGCGGCCGTACTCGGCAACCGCTGTAGCGACACACCGGGAGCAGTCGCCGTCTGAGGTGACGTCAGCCCGAATAGCGACCGCAGAGCCGGCGCCTTGTTCCTGTATCATTTCCACGGTTCGCTGGGCGGAAGCCTCGTCGCGGTCGACGCAAATGACAGAAGCCCCATCCTCGGCCAAGAGCAATGCAATGGCTCTGCCATTGCCAAGATCATCGCCCGCTGCTCCGGCCCCAGTAACGATTGCGACTTTTCCGCTGAGATTCCGAATAGGCCGTGGTGGCAGGTTAGAGAGTGACATTTTCAATGGCGTGTTTTGCGTATGAAGGCGATGAAATGGGGAGCCACTGAGTGCGGGCGGGAGGCGGGAGAGTTGCGGGGTGGATGCGCGTGTCGGCCGCCAGTCCCGGCGCCAGTCCCGGCCGAATGTGCGCCGTCCGCTCGCATCGGCATCAACTCAGGTTCAGTGTACCAACTACATTAGTGCGTACATTTCAGAAAAACAGCAGAACAATGCATAGATGACTTTACACTAGTAAAGTTACAGACTGCTCAAAGATGCAGGTTTTCTGTCCTTCCCCCAGTAAAAGTAAAAGCGGGGGCATCGTCCCTACATTCCTTTTGGTATCGCGGGCCCAAGGTAGGTAGAATTCGACTTTGTTACCAAAAGGCATTATATAGCGTACAAGTTGCCTGGAAGAATATATGAGAAAATTTTTGGCCCCAAGTTGGACTTGCCATGTCCATGGGGTAAATGAATCTACGTTCCGAGCCCGAATTGACTTCTTTCTTGCGTTTTCCTGGCTCACGTGTGCGCTGCTCATGCTGGACTAATAATAGATGTCATCCACGAATGAGGGCCGTGCAGCTAACTTGGTGGGCCTAATAACATCAAGCCTCGTTCTGTATGCCGCAGCAAACATAATTGTTTTGTTAAAGTCTAAGCGCTAGCATCTTCTAATATCCGGGGTTGTCTGTTTATTTAGCAAGATGATGTTGGCTGAAGAGAGATGTAAAGCTACATAGACGCCAATGCAACTGTTATCAGGCTGCATTAGCGTTCGCTGATAGTTGCAGCTCTACCTCAGAGACCTCGGAGAGCTTCGTAATGAGCCTGACCGAAGCCGCGGCATGTGCTGACTTGTACTTGTAAAAGCGAAATATCCACCGCAAGAAGCGGAATTCCAAACCATCAGAAACCTCAAAGACTCACAAAATAAGTATGAAGCTCCTATTATTCCATCTTGGCTAATATCTGGCCTTGACCAGCGTAAGCGGCTAGCATCTAGGCTCGGACAAGCTGGCTTCTTCATACACGATAGGCTAATACCAGCAAGGGGTATATGTAAATCTTGGAGAGTTTCACCTAAATCTTGTATAATATAAATAGGGAACTAATCTTTATTTATTTTAGTAGATAATATTAGCGTTAGACTTTCTAGATTAAGTCTTTATAAAGGTAATATTATAAATTTATTATTTAAAGCTAAAGTAAACTAAAGTTATGGGACGAACAGGCGGACAGGCGAAAGAGAGACACAGAGACAGAGAGACAGGCGGCGCGGCGGCGGACAGCTCATAGCGAACTACATGCGCCCGCGGGGGGGAAATCAGTCATTCGACTTGGGACCACAGAGCTTGCGATGGTCTCGCAACGGCATTGGACAGGAAATTATAAATACACGCACACGCCGAAGACCCGTAGGCAATGTCAAGTTTCTGCAGACTGAACCGTTATTACCACCATCTGTCAACTATTCTGACCACCTTAGGTGGGTGCTAGCTTTGAGAGGTCGACTTATCCGGAGCGGGCCAACAGGCGTCTGCCGTGTGGCGGCTCGGAAATCGCACCAAATCGTAACGCAAAAGTTCCGAAACTATCGATCTCGGGCTGGGGATTGAGGGGTGATTATACCCGCTTCGCCGACGAGTGAACTCGTACGGATTAATAATGTGCACGGAACTATGTAAAAATCATGGCTTCTAAAAACCCAATCCCACGCTAGTTACATAGCGAGTGGATTTGCCAAAATGCCACCAATCAGGGTGGCTACAGATCAAACGAGGTTGTTACAGCTACCTCATCCGAGTCCCAATCAGGCAGGTATACGCTTGTCGGTCCCCGAATACCGCCGAAGAACCATGTATCATGTAAGCAAGGGAGGGAAGCAGAAAAGGAACGAGCCGGAGAAGACTCGGTGACCTTTTTCGGTTTCGGCACGAGTCATTATCAGAAACTGATGATCTGATACCTTTCATTTTCAATCTAATCAGATATAAATCCCTCCCATCAGCCCAACTGTGAGACATTGCTCGAGGATGTCTCTTCCTGTCCGTCTTCCTTCGCCCCGTCTCGTCTTCCCTTGTACATTCATCTGGCCTGCGATGGTCGCGAGGAATACATCATTAGGAGAGCCCTAAAATTCAAGCTTATCTCGAGGCCGCCTCTTGATACGACCAGCACGTAGCATGATATGACTTTTTTTTTTTTTTCTGTTGCGCCAGCTCTAGTAATTCTGTCAGCATCCTTCATTCTATCTTCCTCTCCCTCCAGCTTTCGCAACGGTTTTCAAACCGATGAAACGAGTAGTGCTATTCGGACGAGAGCTTTTTGCGAGCCGGACGAGCCTCACGTGATGCACCGCACCGCGCGACTTTTCAAGGTATCTGAGATTACTACCTAGCGCACTCCATATAAAAACTAAGTACCTGAGAAGAACCGCTAGAATCGGATGTATCACAGACCGTCGACAAGAAACTTTTTTTTATTTAAATTCGACCCCTGATTAACTCGGAACGGAAAGTGCTAAAAGGAAATAGAACCTCACAGGTGGGCCAGTTTTACCTTGAAGTCACCACCAGGAAATGCAGAGTTTGAGACGTTGCTTACTTGGACAAATTCTGGGGGAAAATTGCACAAATACGAATAGCTATGTAGCGCGTACTATCAATCAGTAGCGTAAAACGAATCTATCGGAAGCTTTGGTTTCTGTCAAGAGCCCCCAAAAAGCAAAACTCGCCTGTTGAGATGTCTCCGGTGATGGATCTGGTGGGGCGCTGGCCTTCCCCAAGTGGCGTCTTCTAAATCGGGACATTTTTAGCAACATCTGAATCGGGACTTTGCATTGGATACGTGGCTTTCAACCCAATCGGAAGAATATTCAACTTGGTATGTAATATCACAGGGGTCACTTTTCCGTTTTTCTATGTTGGTAATAGAGAAAAATCTTATAACATCACAGCATGGTATTTTTCAGACTTGCCCTATATTACGTGTGACGGCTGCGTAATCATCCCGTCCCAGTAACAAGGGCAACATAGCCGTCGGGTCGGGCCATTTCTACTTCCTCGCACAATCTGAGCTATGACCCTGATGACCCGTTATTTATATGCATCTGGATTTTTTTTTTCTGCTGTCTTTGTAGTCTCCATTTCTCGCACAGCTTCCATTGAATCCAGACAAGCGGCGAAAAAAAGACGGCAACGCCAGTCAGAATAAACCAAGCGTTTCTAACCCCCACCGCGTCCATCAACGGCTGTATCACGCTGACACCAGCGGCGCCCAAAAGGCAGCGACACAAGTTATTCGTGGCCGTCGCGCCCGCCGCACCGTCTGGGAAGCTGTCTATCAGCATGGTGGAATTGATGTTGAAGATGGCCGTCGCCGTGAACGCGATGATGAACTGCAAGCCCAGCGAAGCGATGAGATTCGGTGCATACTCCCTTCTCAGGTCGTTCAAGTCGTAGCTCGGTCCGTATAATGCCAGCGCGACAATGAACACGAAGCTAAAGTACGGCATAAGCGGGAGGCGAGCGCGCTCGAAGGGAAAGTCCATGGTCTTTTTGATGTCGATGGAGTCCATGCCACGTTGCTCGCAGTACTCGGCCTCGACGCGCTTGAAAGTCTTATCAAGGAGCCTCCCGGTGGAAATGGAGCCGAGCACACATCCGATTCCGTTGGGCAGGAAACAGAGACCAATTTGCCACTGAGTCAGTCTCGGAAATGCCTTCAGCAGGACTGTTGCGGTTGACGATGTAACCATGCTCCACAGAGTGTACACCACTGCCCCCCATGATAAAAGGACGAAAATGTCCTTCTTAAACACATGCGTTAATGGTTTGAGCACATTCTTGAGATTGAGCGGGCGTGTTTTCGGAGTAGGCACAGCACCCGGTACCTTTGCCGTCTTGGTCAAGGCGACAATTGGCTTGTGTAGGCCGGACAGTGGATTGCTGCCGTTGCCAGCAATTTCCCGCTGTGTCTCTGGCAAGAAAATCACCAAAAGAAGGGAAGCGACAACGCCAAAGCTGAACAAGAACCAGAAAATGCTCCGGAAACCCCAGGCACTGTTGAGCAGACCACCAAGAACAGGGCCAATTGCCTGGCCCACCATCCTGCAATAACTACAGTCAGCAATCATTTCTTTGTTCGACGCAAAGGTTTTATTGTGCATACCTCATCCCGGCATTGGTTCCCATAAAGCCTCCACGCTCATTAGCAGAAGATATATCGGAGATAACGCCCACACTAATGCTAATAGTGGCCGAGGACCCTGCTGCTTGGACTCCTCTGAGAGCCATGAGCATGGGGAAGCTCGATGTGAAGGCCAGGCCAATGTTCGCTCCCATGTATATTACCAAGACTGTAATAAACGTGATGCGACGCCCCTTGGCGTCTGATATCGCCCCAAATATTGATGGGGCTATGCCCTGCACAATCATGAATACCATGATCGTGAGTGCCACGTCAGACTGGCTCACACCAAGTTCTGAGGATATAGAGTCTATGGCAGGGAAGTAAATGTTTGACGATAAAGGAGAAAAGGAGCCCGCCAAAGAGACGAGGCACACTATGAACCATTTTTGACGCTTCGAGAAAACGTGGTATGGTGGTGTCTCATGTCGAACCTGTCCAAGTTCGACATCCTCAGGACTGGGTAGCTTGCTGCCCTGTTTTCCCCGTTAGCATGGTTACCCGCACCAAACTAGGATTCCACTGATTCTCTCACCTCACTATCGGAAGTGCAGGGCGTGGACGTTGCCCATATCTGGGTTTTGTTGCTGGTGGCCATTAGGAAGTGGACGTTTGACTGCTTTCCTCGGGCTCGAAAATGTTACTCTGGATCGAGGGACTGAGATATTTATCTATAAAACAAGAAAAATGGATTAGCTTTAAATATATAGCAAAGCTTTTCACCGAGTTTTACCTTGAAGTATGTTTGGCGGCCTCACAACTCGCTAGTTTGAAACGTTTCATTGGTTTATTCCCTACAATAGTCTCTCCCAGTTGGCCAGGATTGCTGATTTACCTTGTACATTGCATCATGTATGCGCTCGGCCAATTACTATCACCTGCGGGGCTTTCTCACACTGCCGCTGGGTATGTTCCACTTCCGGGGACATCAGCATAAAGGTGATTGGCAGGGTCCATATCATATTAGTAAATAGGGTTGTATGGTTATCTTCAAGGTAAGCAGATATGCTTGATGCCTGCTGGACAGCAGACGAGAAATGCCAAGCAAACCAAGAATGTTATTGGCTGCTTTATATTGCGTTTGCAAATTGCGAGGTATTTCTATTCCCAGTGCCAAGAGCGGTATCTAGCATGAATCCCGAAGTGTGGATTCTTGGCCTCTCATTATGCTGACCGAATGGAAACGTATGCCTATTGGCAATGAAAAACATTCTGCAGCTCTCCAACTGGGTATTGGGCTCTAGATCAATTCTTGACTACACCCGTTGGTCACAGTTGAAAGCCAATATGCCATCTTCCTTGAGTGTTCCGAATAGTAGAAGAATGGAATGCTATCATACAGTTTTCTTCTTTCCCAGTTTGGCTTGAGATCTTAGCGAGGACGAGACCGATTCGCGAACAGAGGGAGGCGCCCTAGTTTGAACTTACGAGTCCACGTGGGTCCTGCAAGGAGTTGTGCGATGAAATGATCGGCAATATGTGGAGGTTCTAAGACTTGATAAGTGCTGCGGCGCGCGGCAGTCGCAAGCCACGGAGTTTAGAGATTGCCGAAGGGCAGGTAAACTATATTCAGGGGGGCATGAACAGGAGTAAAGCAAGAGTGATGGCAAAAGCGTTCTGCTTACACAACAGAGAGAAAATCGAAACATTTCGACTGGGCCAAACGGGTATTCCTCTAAATGCAATTCTCGTAGTCTCGCATACGAGGATTCCGTCGCAAAAGCAGGCAGAGCTTTGGGGGTCATCGGTGCGATCTAAGAGCCTCAATAACCCCTGCAAGGGTGGCGCTCGGTTGCACAATCCACACCACCAACAGTGGGTCTCGAAGAAAATAAACGATGCCCTACAACTAAAGGCGATTGGTGGCTTTAAACCCTTAGAGCCTATCTTATTCCGCAAGCCTTATCTTAGTACGTATGTACCTCCATTTTAGCAGCGTTGTGGAAATAGCCCACCGACTGAAGGAGACTACCAAAGTGGCACAGTAGTGCAGCACGGAAAGCTAATAAACAGCTTAGATAGTGTGTTCCCCTTCACGATCCGTAATGATAGGCGTTGCCTAGAGTTGTGAGGCAGAGGACGACCGGAGCGCCCAGGCTATTAGCGAGCATGATTGCGAAGGAGTCCGTAAATAGCGGAAGGGCCCGAATGGTACGTTAGGTATTAGCAGCCTTGCCGGGATCGTTTGCAGGCGATTGTGCGAGTACAGCGCTGAAGGTACATCTTTGCCACTACTAGCTCCTGCTAAGCCCCCAAGACCATCATCACAAGAGCAGATAGATATGTATTTTGTCGGGACAACTTGCTGGATGTTCTTGAACCCGATCCCGCGTTTGCTAGCCGGCTTTCGGGATTCGATATCTCGCCACCAAAATTCTTAAAAAAAAAAAAAAAAANAAAAAAAAAAAAAGGACGAAGCACTGTACATCAATCAATCTAGGATCAGTTCTCTTGCGGAGTGGAAACGTAAATTGAAAGACTGACCGGAAGCATGCCAGTAGAGGGAATGCAACCGCTGTCCAGGTTGGACCTGACTTCGCTGGCAGATACACCCAGGCTACGGATGTAGTCGTCTCCATTGCTAATGGCAGCCCGTAACAACAGTGTGGCGCAGCGGCACTTGCCGCTCTGTCCGAGGCTCACCCAGCCCGAAATTACCCCACCACCCAGGAGGAACTCGGACAACGGGCCAAAGAACTAAACTTTTCCAACTACACCCACGAAAATATTACAGGCCGCATCGCCGTCAAACTCCGAATGGATGCGCGTCTAAAAGCACCTTTCTTTGCGTCGAAGGATAGACTTCCTACCCCCCCTTCCTCCTCCATAAGTTATCGCATCCGCGGATGTTGTTCTTGAGGAATACACAGGCCGTTCGAGTCGTTCGGTTTGGCGACAGCTACGTCATCAAATACGTAATTCAAGACGCATTGAGTGTTGAATTCTTCTTCAGGACAGTTGATCTAAGTGCAATCTTTTCCTGCACCAAAGAAAAATAATGTATTCGTTTAGCCAGAGTCGGCTCCATAACCAGCCTAGCAACGGCGGTACTAACTAGGCTGATTAGACTAGCGAGTAATAGAGAGGACTTCATGTTTATATACGTAGTAAGAGGGTAAGCTACTAGAAGCTCACTACTATTTAAGAGATAAAATAAATATATAAAGTAGTAAAAGTAAAAGTGAATTATTAGAAATAAATGGTCTAATAATTTTTATTACTCTTATTAGCTAGGGAATTTCTATATTTAAATATATCTTATAACTTATATAATACTAATAGGTCTATCTCCTTAGCTTAATATATTTCGGTTTTATTATAACTTAAGATAGACTTATATTATATGCTATAATAAAACCTATCTCGTTAGTCCCTACTATTTTATTATCGGAAAAAAATTAACATTACTACTCGTATAGATGTGGCACCGTCAGACCGACGCCTGAACGTCGGTCTAAAATATATATCTAGGAGTCCTAATACTCTATTAATAAGGAGATTCCTCAGTTCCTCAACTCCTTCAACATTAAGAGAGTTACTTCAGGTGCTAACTCACAGCCCTTGTCTAGAATATCGAGGCAAGATTCAAGTCAACACAGTCACAGTCAAGGGGGTCTATTCTTCCGCGACGAAGTAGGAAATAAGGCCTGACGAAGTATTGTGTATGAAACAGCATGAATGAGGCGTCCAATGCGGCTGGGGTCTATAGTATGTCGTCCCGTATCATTTCTGGTTTTTGTAATCCGTAAATTGTGGTACTTTCCCCTATATCCTAAATAGTAATTAGGACGCGTCAACTTGTAAAATCCACATCATTAAAATTACCTTTTCAGGCTCGAGGGGGAGGGGGAAGACAAACCTATATCAGATATCGTATTACACTACGGTAATCCGTACACACTACTCTTTGATAATGTAGTTTCTGGCTCTACCAAAATGCGTCGTCTTCTTGTTTCGAGGAAAACGCCCCCTCCGACAAGGGGTAAGCTAACCCTAGTTTAATAATCAAACTAAGCAAGTTCAGAGTAGCAGATTGTTAGCCTCTATAGATGCCTATATATCCTATACCGCCGCCGATTCGACTATGCAAGTCCTACATGGCTGCCGAGCCTTGAGTCAACTCATTAATGTTTCATTCCACCATGATGGCACCTGCAGTATTTCCTTTTCCCGTGAATAGCATGTCAACAATTTTAATGACATCGACGTCGCATCCTTGTCCAGTCCGCACGGAATCTTTGGGGTTATCAATTTCTTGGAAGTATTTGCCTGTCGCCTAAGAGGGCAAGTATAAGCCTATGCTATGTATCCAGTCTGAAGCTAAGCTGTTACTCAAAAAGCCCATGAGTCATGACATGAAATGTCTGCTCCTTATAGCTACTGCCTTTACTGACGCGATTTCCCGTGAGCGGTATTTTCTGAGCGGACTTGCCTGAGGTCTTCTTCCCCAAGTTTTTGTTATCCTATTTTCGGCAGCTAAAGCGGTATCTGCTGCATCAGGCATGAGATGTGAACAGGCAGGCGATAAGTTAGGCGTGGGTTAGTGGTTGGTTAGTGTTGCAAAATCTGTGCGTGGTGTTTGCTCCCAAGACGATACTGTGTAATAAATTTTCAAGAACAATTTCTTTACTTTTGGGAGGGGAGGGGAGGAGAGTTTCCTTGGAGCTCTCCAAGGTGTCGATCTTGACAACGCGCCTTGAAACTGCACATTTCTGGAGGTTAGCCGTTGTCGACTCACACACCATACACACTCACGTATTCTGTTTTATACGATCCCTGGCGCTATCAGGCCTGCAAATCTAAAGTGATTCGTCAATGCGAGCAACGGACAACCAGTCCGCAGCCAAGACTCGACTCTTTTCCTCCTCGGATCTTTATCACTTAGCTTGTACATGTTGACTTCGGCACCGGAAATACGTCCAGTCAACAAGTCCAGCGTTGTGTTATAAACACCGTGACTTTATGTCCCATGACTCATTATAAAGTCCGCCGCACGTCTTCGTTAGTCTTTTCCACTACATATATCTTAGCGACGTCGATGGCTAGGTATCGCCATTTGAGTGTGTTGAGAGCTAATTTGCTTTTAGCATCGTGGCACCGCTTTTCCGCGTTATTAAAGAGCTTTGATAGCCGTTCTGCTAGGGCAGTCGTGATTGAATCAGCTCCTGCTTGCGACCGCTTGCGACCTTTGATAGTCGTGATTGAATCAGCTCCTGCTTGCGACCGCTTGCGACCGCTTTTTCGTACAGCCTTGCAAATCGCCTAGAAACTGCGCAGATCCTCCCCAGGATCTGGTTTGATCATGTTCGCTTTGTCAAGGCCACTATTGCCGCGAGTATGGGTCAGACTGAGCTTTCGTCGTTTCCCATGCCCTTGACAACTGCCATAATCGTCGAAGTTTGCTTCTTCAGAGGCAAGGGGGTCGACTTGTTCAGAGCGCTTACGATTCGGTTCCCTATCTTGTGGAGAAACGCCTGGTTCGCCTGAGCTAACGCGATGCACTTCGCTGGTTTTGTCGTGGTCTTGATCGCTGTTGGCAGCCGGTGTTGGTGCTGGTGTCAGTAATGGTGTCACCGGTGTCAGTATCGGTGTCAAGATACTGGCTTCTGCAATCGTTTCCCGAAGCGAGACTACACTTTCCGTGGACTCGGGCTCGTTGGCTAGTCGCGAGCGTATGGACGAGCTGAAGACTTTGCAGAAATCTGCTTTGCTTGATTTCTTATGCCCCGGCGAGCACTGAAGGTCGCAGAGCGGCGAACAAGGGCGCACAGAAGAATGGCAGCGCAGGAAGCGAGGCTGGATCGGCTGGCGGCAACAGAACGACAGCTTTCTGCACACGTCGAGCAGCTGAAACATGACATGGCGCTCCAAGAAAGAAGAATTCGAACACTCAAGAGTGAAGAACAGGAGGCGCTGCAAAAGCTCAGCGGTCTACAACAAACAGAAACCGAGCAGACGCTTCAGAGTCTCTCAAGGCTGAGGAGCAAAACCGACAAAGCGAAATAGTCGTGCTGGAACAAAGGCGAGATCATCTTAGCGACCAGATCCGGCTCGATCTCCTGTGTCTCGGCGAGAAAGAGCGACCAGCCACTGCTGAGCGAGATGGCGCATTCCCTGATCATCACGCCTCTTCGCGACCCGAAGACTTGGAGACAAACGAACAAGGGCTGCGGGCTTTGATGGAGCAGCTAACCCTGCAAATGGCCCAACTCGACGAGGAAAAGGCGGGCAAAATGGCGTCCATGGCAGCAGTGGAGGGAAAGCACAGGTCCGCGATCAATCAACTCGTTGCCGAAGAAGTGGCGTTACGAAACTAGATCGACCAGCTGAAGACACCTAACTAGAGAGAACTTGGAAGTCAGACTCGATGACAGCACAAGACGGACGACGGAGTTGGAGGAAAAGCGGAGCCAGCGCACCGCCACGTACCTGCCTAAAAGGCCCCGTTATTTTCTTTAATTAACAAAAGAGGGACTAGTATAGTGGTAGGAAGTTATTAGACCTAAGTAGCTAGTTCTAACTAAGTAGGTGTATATGCCGTATATAGCCTATATATAGCTATAAGTAGCTAGTAACTAGCTTATACTAGCTAGTAGGAATTAAGCTTCTTATATTACTACTTCTACCTCTTTATAGACATAATATATAGTAAAATTTAGCTTCTTAAGATAGTTAATATAAATATAAGTTAACATTTATTTAGTCTTTAATAATATAATATTACTAATATAATAGTTTTTATTTAAATTATATTTATTAATTTAATTACTTAATATAGTTAATAAGTAAGTAATATAGATAAGTAAGTAATATACCTCTACTAACCTATTACCCTTTAACTATTAATAATTTATTAATATTAAAAAAAAA